TCCTCTAGTGGCTTCAGCTGTGGCCCAAGGTTGATGGCATCTGTGATGTATTCCCTCTCTAAGCTCTCAGCTCCTCAGTGAGAAAAAGGAGCGGCTGGAATTCAGAGCTTGCCAAATCAGGTCCTCACAGAGGCAGCGAGTGGTGAGACTGGTGCAGGACATTAGAAAGTAGGCTCATTCCCAGCTAATTGTCAGGTGAAAGGGTAGCCCAGTGATGTCACATCTACCATTTTCAAGGAAAAGCTCAATATCTGAATCTATATATATAACAGCCAAGCAACCAGATCAACTGGCACTGCGGCCAGCCAACCAGCCCAATTGGGGAGAAGGGGGAGGGGGGCAGGCCTTCTCTGATTGCTCTCCTACCCCCATCAGGGACAGGGCAGGCTGGCCAACCTCACACATCTCCTTCTCCACCTCCCTTTTCCCTCCTCCCCGCCCCACCAGCCTGGCCTGATTGAGCTCCCATGGGGGGAGCCAACTGGACTCCATCTGTGCACAAATTCGAGCACCGGGCCTCTAGTTTCTTTATAAAAGTGTCCTTTGCCCTAGCTAGTTTGGCTCAGTGGATAGAGCATTGGCCTGTGGACTGAAGGGTCCTGGGTTTGATTCTAGTCAAGGGTATGTGCCCAGGTTGCAGGCTCAATCTCCAGTAGGGGGTGTGCAGGAGGCAGCCAATCGGTAATTCTCTCTCATCACTGATGTTTCTCTCTCTCCCTCTCCCTTCCTCTCTGAAATCAATTTTTTAAAAAATAACACACCATGCCGAAACCGGTTTGGCTCAATAGATAGAGCGTCAGCTTGGGGACTGAAAGGTCCCGGGTTCGATTCCGGTCAAGGGCATGTACCTTGGTTGCGGGCATGTCCCCGGTAGGGGGTGTGCGAGAGGCAGCTGATTGATGACTCTCTCTCATTGATGTTTCTAACTCTCTATCTCTCTCCCTTCCTCTCTGTACAAAATCAATAAAATATATTTAAAAAAAAAAATAACACACCAAATATGTAATAAATAAAAATGTCCCTAGGCCCAGCCCATGTGGCTTAGTTGTTGAGTATCGACCTGTGAAGCAGGAGGTCATGGTTTGATTCCCAGGTGGCACATGCCCGGGTTGTGGGCTGGATCCCCAGTGCGGGGGGGCGTGCAGCCCATCAATGATTCTCCCTCATTGATGTTTCTGTCTCTCCCTCTCACTTCCTCTCTGAAATCAACAAGAAAAAAATATGTATTTTTAAATGTCCCTTTGGTAGGCTTAGTCGCTTAGAAAACTTTTAGCATATGCAGATTCCTTAAAACACTCGTGTAGGCTAGATTCATGAGTTTGTGGCATCTGATCCGGGTTACCTAAGGGCTCGGCTGGTGCCGGGAGGTACATGGCATGGTGGTAGGTGTTTGGACTTGGAGCCACCAGGCCTGCTGTCCTGGCTTTGTTACTTCATAGTCGTGACTTTGGACAGATTGCTTAATGGTTTGAGCCTCCATTTTCTCATTTGGAAACAGATGATCATCAGAGAGCTTGTCTTCCAAGGCTGTGCTTCTTAAAGCAGGGTCTCCAGAGCAGCAGCTTCAACATCACTCGCTAGAAAAATAAACTCTGAGGCCCCAACCTGGAGCACCTAAACTCTGGGGGTAGGCCAGCAATCCATGTTAACCAGCCTACCACAGGGCAGAGTTTGAGAGCCACTGGCCTAAGGGCAGGCAGCCATTTAGCCTGTGTCTGGCGCACAGTGAGTGCTCAGTTAGTGGCTGCTGGTGCATCATAGGTGTTTAGTTTTTTCAAAAACACACTGTAATGCCAGGAACATGGTAAATTCAATAAAAGGGAAGCAGGGCATGCACTTTGGGTGCAAAGTTGAGCAGTGTAAGCTCACGTACTCCAAAGATAAAGGGAGAGGCTGAGTTCAGACCTGAAAGCCAGTGACATGGCCAGGCAGAGGACAGCACAGGTGGCCACAGAGAGTCTCAGGCAGGGCCACCTGTGGAGTTTGGTCTGCGTGTCTGGGGGTGAGGGAGAGGAGTGAGGAGCTGAGAAAGTGATAGACCTGTAGGAACTGCAGGGTTCCACCAAGGAGACTGAACTTCTTTGGGGTGCTCTCGGAGAGCTTTTAGCACAGAAAGGATGTTGGCCCACTTGCATTTGAGAATGGCTCTCTGGATTCCGGGAAAAAGAGGCAAGACTAGAGTGAGTGAAGAGGCTGGGGCAGGAGTTGAGGCAAGAGTGGTGTCGACGCAGAGTGGTGGCAGGGGGAATGGAGAGGAAGGGGTCCAGCTGGTGGCTTGACTAATCATGGAAGGAGATGGAAGTGGGAGAGCAGCCTGGATGGCAGTCCTGGTAGGGATGTCATTTGTTAGATGAGTGACTATACATTGAGCACCTATGTCCCAATTGTTGGGGTTAAAGCAAGAACAAGACAAACAAAAATTTTTGCCTTCATGGGAGGAGAGAGAAAAAAAAAATATATGCCAGATGGTGGCAAAGTGGGAGAAAATAATATTGTGGAATATTACAGTTTCAAGTGGAGTAATCATGGCAGGCCTCACTGAGGAGGCAGTATGAGCGATGACCAGATGAGATGAGGACAAGAGCAAGCCCCAGCCGAAGCTCACCTATAATGGGAGCAGATTTGTCTCCCTGGTTGCCATGGAAACAATGGGAGCAGATTTGGGGGTGAGGAATACAGGGATGTAAACATAGCTGGTCTGGGGCCTGGGTGCAGGAATAGAAGCAGAGGGGTGTGCTGACCTTTCGCCTGCCTGCCCAGGGCAAACGGAGAGCCGTGGGCGGCTGCAGGGGGTGGCAGAGCTGCGCTTGGCAGGCCTAGAGCTGACAGACGCCTCCCTGCGACTCCTGCTGCGCCACGCGCCCCAGCTGAGCGCCCTGGACCTCAGCCACTGCGCCCATGTCGGGGATCCCAGTGTTCATCTCCTCACGGCCCCCACCTCCCCACTTCGAGAGACCCTGGTACACCTCAATCTTGCTGGTAAGCATGGTCCCCTGTCTGTCCATCCGCTAGCCTGTTGATTCCCAGGACCAGTGCCTACGCCCTACTCACCTTCCTGGTGTTGTTACCATTACCCATCCCCAGGTTGCCACCGCCTCACTGACCATTGCCTTCCGCTGTTCCGCCGCTGTCCTCGCCTACGCCGCCTAGACCTGCGTTCCTGCCGCCAGCTCTCACCTGAAGCTTGTGCCCGGCTGGCAGCTGCTGGGCCCCCTGGCCCCTTCCGCTGCCCGGAGGAGAAGTTGCTTCTCAAGGACAGCTAGTTGGGTGCCCCCCCACTACCCCCCGACTCTTCAGGAGCCTGGACCTCCGGCCTTCATTTCACTCCTGCCAGGAGGCCAGGTTACCCACCTCATGACTTGGGATTCCTGAGTGTTCCGACTTGGGACTCCTGCCCAGGGACTTGAGCCAGCCCCCCACTCTGCCCCCTGCACTGATATTTCTGGGGGTCTCTTTCCCCTCCCCTCCCCCTTCCACCTGCTTCATTGTCCATCCCCTGGGGGGAGTGGGTCAGAGGTACTGGGGGTTGCTGAGCCAAAGGGATGGTGGGTGGGGGGGTAAGGTGCAAGCTTGAGGGAGGGAGAATGGGGAAACACATCTGCATACAGGATACTGGGAGCCAGGGGCTGGGGAGGTGGAGGATGGGCTGGGTGGGGGGCAGAAAGCAGACCACCAGGGGTGCAGGGAACAGACCAGATACTTGGAGTTGGGAGGGAGGGGCCAAAAGGGAAACCAGAGGAGCATTGGAGTCCAGGTGTCAGAGGTGGGATACTCGGGAAACCAGGGAAAGCCGGGGCTAACTGAGGGGGGGGAGCAGGTGTGGGGGCAGTAGCACTCACTCAGGGGGTTACTCCTCCTCTTACTCCCCAGTTTTAGTTCCTCCCCCCAACCCTGACTCCTTGAAAGTCACTGACAATGGCAGCTATTGCGAGGAGTGGGGGCCAACTGGCCTGTCTGCTGTTCAGCGTGGCCCAGGGGAGTGGTGAGGGGTACCCCAGCCCCCTACCTGCCTCCCTGTTCAATACTTGAACATTCATCTGTACTGAAGTGTTACTTGAACCTGGGGAATCTCGGACTTGGGGGAGCTGGAGTGTGAGGGCCGGAGCGCTTGGACTGAGACTGGGCCGGTGGGCGCTGCCACCACCAGGCTCTTTCTTGCTTTACTGTATTGAGCAGTTCCACCCCTCCTGACCTGCCGTGGAGTGGGGTGCCATCCAGCGATGGGGAAGATGAGACTCCTTCAGTTTGGTTCTTCCCACTGGTCGTCATGGAAACTTGTATCCCATTTGCCCAGGGAACTGCCACTCCTGGTTGCCATGGAAATAGCAGCCAATGGACTCGTCCCAAAGCCAGGGCTAAGGCTGGTAATGGCCCCTCTTGGTTGCCGTGGGAACTTAGTAACAGTCTTGGCCCACCCCTGCCCTTTCCTCCAGTTGGGGGCGGAGCTTGGGGAGCCAGGGCCCGCCCCTCAGCCCAGGCCTCGGGGTGGCTGGGTTGTACCATGTAGGGGAGGGGGGGTTTATCCACATACCTCAGGTAACAGGGAGGTGCGGGGTGGGGGGAGGGTCTGGGCGGACCAGAGGTCGACGGGAGGGGTCCTGGGGGTCGCGGAGGCTTGAGGTTGGGGCCGCTTGGGAGAAGGGAAAGAGGCAGCCCGGCGGGGCACGTGGGGGACCCAGCCGGGGCTGGGCCCCGGGTCTGTACTATACGGTTTGCTATAAAACTCAAAATCTTCCAAATGGGGTGCCTGAGTTCCTGTGTCTGCGGCGCGGGGGGTTGGGGTTTGGGGGGGGGGGGGTTAGGGTGGGGGTAGGGCAGGGAGGACCTGAGTGCTAACCCTCTGGGGCTCTCGGAGCCTTGGGCATCCCGGGAACTGAGTTTACAAGGATGGGCTCACCTTTCCCCAGTTTACAGTTTGGGTAGAGGATTGGGGCTCTGGACCCGGGATGTCCCGAGGAGCTTGGAGTGAGTGGTCAGGGTCCGGGAGTTGGCCTCAGCGGAGCGGGGCGCCTCCTGACATTGTAGCGGGACTCTCACAGGGGTCCCCGGGGATCTCTGCGGACGCCCCCGACTCCACCCCATCATGTGGCCGCCGGCTCCGCCTCTGCCCCAGTTCCTGTTTCGGCCTCTGCTGTCCCGCTCCGGCCCCTGGGGCTCCCGCAGACGCCGCCTCTTTCTGCTCAGTCCACCGCCTCTCCCTGGGCACCTGCCGCCACATCGGCTCAACCCCGCGGGGCATGGGGTCTCTTCCCGGCCTGCGCCGACCCTCCTGGACACCCCGAGGCTACTCGACCCCGCCCTGACTGCCAGGCCCCCTGGTGCCGCGGCCCCCAGGATGAAGGGCGGCCAGGGGGACGCGGGCGAGCAGGCCCCGCTGAACCCGGAGGCCGAGTGCCCCTCGGGCTCGGCCACGTACCGGGAGTTCGTGCACCGCGGCTACTTGGACCTCATGGGGGCCAGTCAGCACTCGCTGCGGGCGCTCAGCTGGCGCCGCCTCTACCTCAGCCGGGCCAAGCTCAAAGCCTCCAGCCGCACGTCTGCCCTGCTCTCGGGCTTCGCCATGGTGAGGGGAGGGGAGGGGGCAAAGGGTGGGGTTGAGGAAAGGGCCATAGGCAAAGGAAACGGGTACCTAAGGGGGGGCGGGCAAAGGAAAAGGAATGACTGGGTTTTAAGAGGTAAAAGAGAAACAAGTTCTCAAGGGATGACAAATCCCTTTTTAATTGGGGGGTGGTGGGGTGAATAGACCCCCGGCATAAACTGGGCCACAGGGAGGATAAACAAGTGCTAAAGATGTCATGGATACAAATCATGTCATGGGGATAGGTAAACCACCAGCGGGTACATAGGCATGGGTGGGACAGAGGTCCAAAAACAGTCCAGGCCGAGGGGATTGCTAGACGTCACCCCACCCTGCCAGGAGAGGTTCAAAGGCAGATCAGAGCTGAGTCCGGCTGTGCGAACAGCTGGAGGTGGGGTTAGAGAAAACAAACAGATGGGGTGGTCACCCAGCTGAAAGGGGGACCCATCCCAAGAAAGGCATGTGGTCCCCAGCAGGTACCCAGGTGCCTGGTGCAGCCCAGGAAGCTGTGAGGAGAGGGTGCCTCTGAGGAAGTCTGTGGGGAAGAAGCTGATTAGGAAACTGATTACATGATTCCCGAGCTGATAAGCTGGTGCTGTGGGAAGATGATGTCAGCTAACGGGCCCAGAGGAGCCTGGGGAATGGGGCTGAGGGAGGTCCCAGGGTGAGGAGTCCGCTCCTTCCTGCTGTGGCCGGAGACCCTGGGCAGGTCAGTGGGAGATGGTGAGATGGTGGAGGGCGTGCCCTCTGTGGTCTGCCAACTGCCTGCCCTAGGATGGGCCGATTCTTGTCCTCAAACCCTAGATCTAAGCGTGTTGGAGCAAGATACACATCAAAGATGGCTTAGACTACCTGTTAATTGGCTGGAGGAGCGAGGTGTGTGTGTGTGGGGGGGGGCAGACACGTCCTTATAGGAACCTGTTTTATGGGGCAAATTGAGATGGGGATAAAAGGGTCAGAGCGCTGGGTGATTTGGGTTAATCCCTACCCTTCTCAGTGCCGCAGCCTCTATTTAAAACGATCAGAGGGGAAGTTTCTATCCTCAAGGGTCATTCTAGGTCTATGGTTATTTTTATGTGGAGCCCAGGGTCCACAGGCCAGTCCACCCTTCCTAGTGTGGAGTCATCTGGGAGTTGGCTCTCCCCCTACAGACTGGAGAGGAAAGGAAACAGCCTCATGGACCCACCCCCATCCACCCCATGGTTCAGTCTGGCCTGCTGCTGGACTCGCATGTTGCTGGGGTGACAGCTTAAAGGCCAGGATCTTCTCTGCAGGATGCAGAGGCCAGATGAGTAGGTTCTAGGGGCAGGCCTGGCTCCGGCCTTCCCGGGGGAAAACTAGCCTGGGTCAGGCTATGGGAGAAAACAGGAGTAGGCCTGGCCCAGATGCCCGTCTGTGGGAAACACCTGCTAATACCCTTCGAGGCCCACTTTCCCGAAACACTCGTCCTTGTCTTTCTACCACCGTTCTCCAGGCTCTTCGCCTTCCTCCTTCCCTCAGCACCAGAGCAATCTAATGGGTGCTGCAAGAACTATTGGGAAAAGATCCAGATCCTGGAATTCAGGTGGCCTGCGTGAAAATAACATAAGATAGTATTAAACTGTCATTAGGTACCAGGCACTGTGCTTAGGGCTTTTATGTATGTTATCTACTATCTTATGAAATAGGTACCACTATTAATGGCGATTTTGCAGATGAAAAAACAGGATCAGAGATGTTATATCACCGGCCCGGAGTCCCACAGCAAGCAAGTGGCAGGATTTGAACTTTGGCAGTCTAGTTCTAGAGTCCAAATTTACACACACCTTGAACACGATCCGGGCAGGTAATGTGGGAGCCAAGTTGGTTTTGTGGGGACTATAGCTATAGAGGCCCTGCCCGGTTCAAAGGCAGCAGCCATGACTCAACTCTAGCTGATAGCTGTCATGCAAGAATGTGGACCGGGTGTAACCAGATCCTCTGAATTTTTAAAGGATCTGCAAATTGGGAGATTTCTACGAAATTTCTTGAGTTTTATTTATTTTTTTATCCTCATCTGAGGATTTTTCCCCCCACTGGTTTTTAGAGAGAGTGAAGGGAGAGATAAGGGAGAGGGAGAAAGGGAGAGAAAGAAATATTGACCTGAGAATGACACATTGATTGGTCGCCTTCCTCCTAGATGAGGTCCCTTTCTGGTCCCAGGGGATGGAACCTGCAACTGAGGCATGTGCCCTTGACCCTTGACCAAGAATTGGGAATGGAACCTGCGACCTTGGGTCTCTGAGCTGATGCTCTAACCACTGAACACCCGGCCAGGGAAAAAAATCTCTTGAGTTTTAAAAACTGGCAACTTAATTCTTGGGTTCATGGTGTGCCAGTTTGCAAACTGTGACCTTGGATTTTAGTGTTAACGCAAATAAGAACAGCAAACAGTGCTTACTATGTGCCTTGCACTATTATTGTCACTTGATGTATATTATTTCATTCAATTTTCACAATTTTATAAAGCAGATAGGTGCTATTATCAATCCCCATTTTCCAGAGGAGGCGATTGAGGCACAGAGAGACTAAGTCATTTGCTCAAGACTCACAGCTTGTAGGTCTGAGGATGAACCCAGGCAGCCCAGCTCCAGAATCTGCTTTTTAACCCCTAAGTTTATAGCAAGCTAAGATTGTCAGGGAAATGTCAGCTAGCTGTTTTATTAGCTAGGTGGGGAAACTGAGGCCCAAACAGGCCAGAGCCTGCCCAAGGCTGCCCATTCGTGCATTCAACAAAGACTGAGAGTTTTTTTTGTTTTCTTGTTGTTTTTTTCAATTTTCACCCAAGGATATGTTTTTCTGAATTTTTAGAGAGAAGTCTATGGCCATCCCACCCTGAATGGGTCAGATCTCATCTAATCTCGGAAACTAAGCAGGGTTGGGCCTGCTTTGTACTTGGATGGGAGGAAGATGAGAGAGAGAGAGAGAGAGAGAGAGAGAGAGAGAGAGAGAGAGAGAGAGAGAGAGAGAATGAGAAACTGCTATTGATTGCCTCCCGTATGCTCCCCAACCAGGAGTCAAACCCAAACCTAGGTATGTGCCCTGACCAGGAATCAAACCTGCAACCTTTTGGTGTATGGGACGGCACTCTAACCAACTGAGCTACACTGGCCAGGGCAAGACTGAGAGTCTTTCTGCCAGGCACTGTCCTAAGGGTACAGCCTTGCTGCTGTTCAGGAAGTTATAGACACTCAGTCCATCCCTCTTGTCCCCACAGGTAGCCATGGTGGAGGTACAACTGGAGAACAACTACGAGTACCCACCAGGCCTGCTGGTGGCCTTCAGTGCCTGCACCACCGTCCTAGTGGCTGTGCACCTCTTTGCACTCATGGTCTCCACGTGTCTGCTGCCCCACATCGAAGCTGTTAGCAACATCCACAACCTCAACTCTGTCCACCAGTCTCCACACCAGCGACTCCACCGCTACGTGGAGCTGGCCTGGGGCTTCTCCACTGCCTTAGGCACCTTTCTCTTCCTCGCTGAAGTTGTCCTTGTTGGCTGGGTCAAGTTTGTGCCCATTGGGGCCCCCGTGGGCAAGCCAGCACCTGTGGTACCTGCCTCCCAGGTGCCTGGGACTCTGCCACCAGTGGCCACGTCCCTGAGTCCAGCGTCTAAGCCACCCTCTGCGTCAGTGGCCCCTCCACAGGCTGCGCCATCTGAGGCCTGCCCACCCCAGCAAGCATGTGGTGGTGGTGGGGTCCACGGACCAGGATGGCAAGCAGCCATGGCCTCCACGGCAATCATGGTACCTGTGGGGCTTGTGTTTGTGGCCTTTGCCCTGCATTTTTACCGCTCCTTGGTGGCGCACAAAACAGACCGCCACAAGCAGGAGTTAGAGGAGCTGAGTCGCCTGCAGGGGGAGCTGCAGGCTGTGTGACCCGTGTGTTAGCCACCTGTTACGAGCACTGCCTTCTTCGGGGGTCAGCCAGAGGCCCCTGGTCCACACCACTGTTCCCTGACTGCCTGGAGGCACTTCTTGCGGCCACTCTTAGGTGGAGGCCAGATTCCTGACCTCAGGGTCCTTTGGGCTGGGCCTTGGGCAGCTCCCACATTCCCTGGGATTCTCCTTGTCAGCCTGTCCCATGAGTGTTCTACACCTGGGAGGAGCGGGGGAGAAAGCGGAAGGTGTTCAGTCAGGGTCATACACCAGGTGGGAGAAAGGGAGGGAGACCCTGGTCAGACCTTTGGTGCTGACCCCTCGCGGCTTGCCCCTGTACAGGATGTGGAGGTCAGATTACATACCCACCAACTGCCCTAGAAGGCAGCCAACCCTTCCCTTATTTTTGTTTTTTAAAATCCTCACCTGAGGATATTTTTTCATTGCTTTTTAGAGAGAATGAAAGGAAGGGAGGGAGGACAAGAGAGAGACATCCATGTGAGACAGACACGTTGGCTACTTGCCTCCCACACTTGCCCCAACTAGCTGGGGATGAACCTGCAACCGGTACATGCTACTTTTTTTCTTCTTTTCCTTTTGACTTCAGAGAGGAAGGGAGAGGGAGAGAGAGAGAGAAACACCAATGATAAGAGAGGATCATTGATCGTCCTGCACACCCATGACCTCCTGGTTCATAGGCTGATGCTCAACTGCTGAGCCGTTCTGGCCAGACCTGTCAGGGTGGATGGGTTCACACTCTTTAGCTGTTATAGAGAGGCATTTGGTGTTTCTGCCCAGGCATAGGCCCAGCCTTTTCTAGAAGGAGCCTCCCTATTTTTGGAGGTTCAAGTGCCTGTCCAACTCCCCAGACCCACGATTAATGCTACTTTACCTGCTTCTCACTCTTCTGTGCCAGTCTTGGGGGTCTTTGGAGACTGAGGGCCTGTGTTCCCAGCTGGACTCCCTGGCAAGGTATGGGGTGAGGTTTTAAGGGAGGTCCAGTCCCTAACCCTGGGAATACAGAGCTGTTCTGACACTGAGTTTTTGATGCACCTTGTTTGTATAATAAATTGTGTTTCACAGATGTGTCTGTGGCCATGAATGGAGTGAAGGGGAGGTCTCCTTAGGATCAGGCGCCTTGTTCCTAAGAGACCAATAGAGACTGGGTGCCGGGCAAGGGTGCCCCCTTCTGGCCAGTAGCTTCTGAATGTGGAGCCTGAGTTTTTCCAGGCAAAAGGCATTTGCACTCTTGTTCCTGAGCCTAGGGTCTCTCTTCCACTGAGGATTTAGTATAATTCTTTCTTCTTTTAAAAAAAATATATTTTATTGATTTTTTACAGAGAGGAAGACAGAGGGATAGTTAGAAACATTGATGAGAGAGAATCATTCATCAGCTGCCTCCTGCACACCCCCTACTGGGGATGTGCCCACAACCAAGATACATACCCCTGACAGGAATCGAACCTGGAACCTTTCAGTCCACAGGCCAACGCTCTATCCACTGGGCCAAACCGGTTTCGGCTAGTATGTTTCTTTTAAGTTTTTTTTTCTTTGAGAGACTATTACAAAGTAGGGGTTTTTCATATGTTATCTCATTGAACCCTCATAACCATCTAAAGAGATAAGTCTTTATTTCCATTTCAGAGGTAAGGGACCTGGGGTCCAAGAAGGCTGAGGATCTCGCTGAGAACCACATAGCTAGTCAGTGAGAACTTGGGTTACCTTTACCACCCCTCGGGGAATTCCTTTCTGTTTGACTTGAGAAAAGGAGCCAATACCTTTCAACTCGGACAAGAAAGAAATATGATCTCATCACACATGCTTCCACGTAAATTCATTTTTTCAGCCTCGTTTTCCTAAAAAATTTAAAAAATCCCAATCCTATCTCTCCTATTTTTATGGTGTGTCATCTTGAACAAGTACCCCTTTTCTCTTTTCCTGTTACTTAAAATGATAAGTGTGCATGGACACGGCTTCAAGGGCCTTTCCTATGTTTTTTGTTTTTGTTTTTTGATGCCTACATTAATCCTGCGGGACATCAATATCCATTTCAGAGTAAGAATCTGAAGCTGTGAGAGGTCAATGATTTGCCCAAGGTAATACAGCGAGAGATGTAGACAGAGATGTCTGAAACCTAAGGCATCCTCAGCTCAGGCAGAGGGGCCTCGGGGGGTATGCCATCGCCTGGAGACCAGAATACCCTGCGGCCAAGATAGAAATAAATGATGCTCAGCCTCAGGCGACCTTAGGCCCAGGGTCCCAGTGTAAGCCTGGAACGGTGCTGCCCTCGAGCGGCGAGACCGCGTAAGGATAGCCTCCACCCTATCCGTTGAAAACGACGGGCACTGGGACCATGGTGCGACCAGCTCACCTAGTTACTATAAACCGAGTTTACTTTTTGCAAGACCCACTCTAGGGTCTTTAAGCTCCACCGCGTTTATCATAAAACTTTAAGACCAGTAGTGGCCGAATACGGGCAGAATGCGGAAACCTCTGCAGGTCTCAGTCTCCACGTCCGCCAAGTGGGCATCTTGAGCAGCCAGTGACCCAAGGGGGATCACGAAAGGAAAACGCTCCCTGCATTAGGGTACGTGCGTCGCCAAACAGCCTGAGTCACCACTGATGGTTGTATTTTCCATCTCACGGGCGCCCCTCCCAGGCCGCCGGGTTTCGGTGGGTCCTACAGGAAGAGCCCCGCGACGCCGAGCCGCACGCAGGCCCCGCCCTCTGCGCAGGCGCCGCGGCCCCGCCCACAGGCTCGCAGATTCGTGAGTCCGGCTCCCCAGGATTACTCAGGCCCCGATGCTCAGCCGGAAATTCTCATGGGAGCTTTGAGCCATAGCCACTTGCCTCGGGTCGGAATTGGACAGTCCCCTGAATTGTACTAGGAAGAAAGTCCAGGGAAGTGGCTGACTTGCCTACAGGGCTTGCCTAAACAGGCACCACTTTCTTGACTTCACCAAAGCGGGCAAAGGGAGGCAAGAGCTGGGGCCAGGACCTGTGGCGAATCTGCAGCCTCCTGGACGTTTGGCCGCGCAAGAAAGGGGCAGGCAAGAGGAGCAGAGAAGCCCGCGTCTCGTCCACCCATTCGCCCCGCCCGCCTGACGAATCTGCGCCCGTTCAACGCGCCACTCAAATCTCCCCAGCTCTGGCTGGCCTCCTCCCTTCGCCCCGCCCCCTTTTCCTCCGGGATTAGTCGCTGCTTTCGTCGCCACCGATTCGTCAACGGCCCCAGGCCAGAGCAGCTGGATAGCCGTGGTGAAGCCCACTCTGCGGGGGATGCGGCCAATCTCCAGGCTCCCTAGGCTGCAATTCTCAAGCCTCCTAGGACGCCGGCCGAGGCGAAACCGCTATCCTAGGCCCCGTTGGTCTCCCAGTGGCGCCCGTGGCGAAAGTGCGAATGTCGACGCTGTGCCTGCTGGGCCTCGCGCAGGTGGCGGTGGTGTTTGGTGCGCGCGCCGGGGAGGTGGTGGTGGGGGGGCGCCGCCGCCGCCACCGCTGCGGGGCCGGGTCTCGCTCTGCCGCCGCCGCCGCCGCCGCCTCGCGCCACTGAGGTGCCGCGCGGGGTGGGGGGAGGGGGAGCCGCTCGACACGAGCGGGTGAGTGGGGCCGCGCCGCGCGTGCGCGGAGATGGGGGGGGGGCAGAACGCACCGGGGCGGGAGGAGAGGGCAGCGGTGCGCGTTCCCCTACCCCCCACCCCCCCGCCCAGATTCGGGGCCGAAGCCGGGTCTCGGGCTCGGTCTCGCGGTGTTTCCAACGCCCCGAATAGGTGCCACCTCTTGGCGAGAGGATCGGGGCGCGGGGACCCGAGCGGGTGTGTGGGAGCGGGAGCCGGGCTTGGCCCGGGCCGCTGGCCGGTGAGGAGGCGGGAGGGGGCGGGGCCTGCCAGGGGGCGGGGGAGGGGTCTTGCTCTGAGGGCAAGTGGGGCGCGCGCTGGGTAGAGCTGGGGGCACGAGATGGGCCTGGTGGTCTGAGGGCAAGAGTTGAGAGGTGGAGAGAATGTGTTGTTACGGTGATAGAGTGTGTACTTGGAAAATCTGGGGGAGCTGCGGGTCATGGTGAGGTGTGGAAATGGGGGTGATGAGAGACCCTGGAGCCTGGGCTAGTCGGTGAGGGGCAGCAAGGCAGTCAGGCCTAAGATCTGAACCCCCTTGTGTATTCCTTTCTTGTAACAGTGTAAATGAGCAAAGATGGATCAGGAAGGTGGGGGAGATGGGCAGAAGACCCCGAGCTTCCAGTGGCGAAACTACAAGCTCATTGTGGACCCTGCCTTGGACCCTGCCCTGCGCAGGCCTTCTCAAAAGGTGTACCGCTACGACGGAGTCCACTTCAGTGTCAACGTGAGTGCCCAGGCCTTTCCTTGCCATCTAGGAACCTCCAGGCCCATTCTCCTGGTGGCTCTGTTCAGCACCCAGACCTTCCCTATGCAGAGCCTGCCTTCTTAAAAAGTAGTTAACCAGCACCCAACTCTTTTGCATATGGGTCTCCAAATGGGCTTAGAGCGTGGTTTCACCTTGAGCTGTCTTTCTGTTCCTGCTTTCCTTCCTAGGACTCAAAGTATATCCCAGTCGAAGACCTCCAAGACCCCCGTTGCCATGTCAGGTCCAAAAACAGAGACTTCTCCCTCCCAGTCCCGAAGTTTAAGGTATGTGTCTGCTGGTGTCTTGGAGGGGTGGCCCTTGGAGGGTGTGGAGGCTCCATCCTGGCAGTCCAGTCTTAGTGTCGCTGAATAAGACAGTTTTCCAATGCAAGGATCACAGCCACATCTAACAGGCTGTGAAGCTGAGTTGTTCTGGACAGGAACTCTGTCTTCTAGAAAGGCATGGCTGAGGTGTCCCAAACAGGGGTGTTGACTCCTTGAATGATATAAAGACGTGTTTTGCCGCTTTACTTCCCACTCTGTATTCCTAGACAGTCTATGTGTTCCTTGGCAGTGCTCTTTCTGATACCCCAGTTTCCCAACAAATAAGGGAGCGATAAGGCCAGGGACTCCATCCCTGAAATCCTCCGTTCCTCACCTCTCCTTGGGCCATTTGATCCTCCATTTTATGCCAGAAGATGCCCCTGTTTCTTTCCAGGCAGGGTACTCAACAGGCCTGGGGCTGGGCCTAGAAAACTGGTGGTTCTTGGTTTCTCTCACTAATTCTTTATTCACTTTTAAATAAATCATTTGTGGGGTGCCCTGGCCCCTTTTTTCACTTTGTACACTTTCCCTGGACAATCTCTTTCACATCCGTTACTTTGACTATTACCAAAATGTTCATGACTTCTAAATCTCTGTTTCTAGCCAAGATCAGTCTCGAACTTCAAACATGTATGCCTGATAGTGGGAAGCTCCATCTGGATGCCCCACAAACATCTCAGATTCAAGACATCCAAACAAATGATCTTTACCCCTTTAATCCTGCTCTTCCCCCATTTACTTAGCTGCCCAAGCTGGAAACCCGGAAGGCATCCTATGATTCTCCTTTCCTTTATCGCATAATCTGTTGCAAAGTTCTGCTGACCCTTTTTCCTAAACCATTTTGTGTTAATTATTCTATTCCCATTGCCATCTCTTTAATACATACTCTTGTATTCATTTCACCTGGTTTCCTTGCTTCTATTCTCTTCGTTTAATGTTCCACCCTGCTGTCATTGTCGCTTTAATTTTACTCTTATTTTACTTTGGTTGCCAAATCCATGTTTTTGTGCATTGACATTTAAGATTGTTGAGCTGGTCAAGCCTCATCTCCTGATTGATACTGCTCACCTGTGTTCCATCCTCTATACACTCAGTTTCTGGGAAATGCTGTTATTTCATAATGTCACGTAATTACAGTAAGTCCTTGTAATTTTGGTGAACTCCTATGTATCCCAAAAGCCCAATATGAATGACACCATCTGTATGAATGCTTCCCTGCCTTGTCTCTGAACAAAGTTTCTTTTTCTGGACTCCGAAACACCTCTGTACACCTCTGCCGACACCTACTGCCATGTCATAACTGCATGTGACTCTGTCTTGTCTGTTTTTCTGACCAGTAATCTTTTTTTCATCTCTATATTCCTAGTGCCCAGTCTATCCATGGTAATTACTTAGTAAATGCTGAGTTAGTGAGATTTCTTTACATCTAGTTTCTTCCATGTGTGTTTATTTCTCAGTTCATACCTTTCTTTTCCTGGTTCTTGCCATTATTCCATGATGAAAAGAATTCTAGAGAGAGAGGGGTCTCTCTTCTGCTGTCCCTGGTTGCGGTCCCTTGCCCTTTCCTCTTATTTCCCAGTCCTATCTCTCTAATCTCATGGATCTCTAAAGTTCCCCAAGGAAAAAGTATCACTACCCCAGACTTAGCGCTTGTCCTCTCCACAGCTGGATGAGTTCTATATTGGACAGATCCCTCTGAAGGAAGTGACTTTTGCAAGACTAAATGACAACGTGCGGGAGACCTTCCTGAAGGATATGTGCCGGAAGTATGGCGAGGTGGAAGAGGTGGAGATCCTTCTTCACCCCCGTACTCGCAAGCACCTGGGCCTGGCCCGAGTGCTCTTCACCAGCACTCGAGGAGCCAAGGAAACGGTCAAAAACCTCCACCTTACCTCCGTCATGGGCAACATCATCCACGCCCAGCTCGACATCAAAGGTAAGGGTGTCCTGCCTGCAGCCAAGGCTGGGCTCTGGCAGAGATTGTACCTGTGGATCCGCTTGGAGTCAGGCATGTGAGCAGGTTCATGACTCCGTATCTGAAACTCGTGGGGCCAGATGGGTTTCTGAAGTCAGAATTTTACAAAGGGGGATTATGGGAGTCATATTTTGTGTATGTATTCAGCATCATTGGGGCTATACTAGCTTACGGCTTTTTTTATAAGAAAGTGTATGAAGGGTCACACTAGGTTGGATAAATAAAAACAAAAGTAAATAGCCCTGGCTGGCTCAGCTCAGTGCAGGGGTCTCAGGTTTGATTGCCAGTCAGTGGCATGTACCTCAGGGCATGTGTGCGAGGCAACCAGTGGACATATCTCTCTCTCTTCTCTTCTCTTCTCTTCTCTTCTCTTCATCTTTCTTTCTCTCTTTCTACCCCCCCCCCTTCACTATCTTTGAAAAAATCAGTGGCAAAAATATCCTCAGGTGAGGATTAAAAAACAAACTAGAGTAAATAGCTTCAGCTCAGGTTTTGACACTAAATTCCCCAAAATACTAGGTTTTGAAACTTTGGACGGAGAGTTAGAGACCTGTGTATTGCTGACAGGTGAGTGGAGGAGCAGTCTGTGTCAGGGATAACGGAAGGGTAGGGGTTGTGGCACTGCCATCTAAAGGAGGCAGCTGTGGCATTAGCCAATTTGCAAGTCCTCTAAAGGGCGATAGAGGACTAATATGGCCAAATAATCTGTTTGTGTGTTTTTTGTTTTTTTGAAGAAAGAAATCAAAGTTTTTTGTGTGTGTGTGTGTGTTTTTTATCAGATCTCATGATTTAAAAATTTTACATCCCTCTACTCCCCCCAAATTTAAGTGATTATGTAAGGCCAATAAAATTTTGTTTCTGTGACCCTGAGCTTATGGGATGAAGAATATGATAGGTTCTAGCGTTCGATGACCTGGGTCTGATTAGAGTTCTGCTCCTCACCGACTCTGCAGGCCGGTCTTTACCCCGTTGAGTAGGTTCCTGATGCTTTTCCCTCTGCTGACCATTCAGTGCAGTAATTCATGTAGAAGAAACCGCGCAGTGTTGTACTCTCTGTCGTTTGTAGTAGTTGTTACGTGGAGATGACGTAGAAGGTCCCAGATGCAGAGAGAGGAGAGAAGAATTGAAGTCCCAAACCCAGGATCAGCTTGAGGCCTGAGGAATAAGTGGGAAAACCATGTTAGGAAGGAGTTGTTTTCTCCGTCTGACTCTGCTGGTTCCCATTTTTCTCCTCCTAGGACAACAGCGAATGAAGTACTATGAACTGATTGTCAATGGCTCCTACACCCCCCAGACAGTGCCCACTGGGGGCAAGGCCCTGAGCGAGAAGTTCCAGGGCCCTGGTGCAGCCACTGAGACGGTGAGAAGCTTGTGGTTGCCATAGCCCTGGCCATGCAGGCACAGTCCTTGAGTACCAGGACCAGTCTTTGGAGGGCTCTGGGCTTCACGTTAAGTATAGGAAGAGCCAAGAAAAGATGCCTAGATGCTTTCCAATGACAGGGACCTGGGATTCAAAGTTTGGGGAAGGGTGAATTGTTAAATGGTAATTGATCCTTTTTCCTTTCTGCCTACTCCACTCTCCCCTTCCAGACTGAATCCCGCCGCCGCTCCTCCTCTGACACAGCTGCCTACCCAGCAGGTCCTGCTGCGGTGGGCACTCCTGGCAATGGCACCCCCTGCTCCCAGGACACAAGCTTCTCCGGCAGCCGGCAAGACACCCCATCTTCCTTCGGCCAGTTCACCCCTCAGTCCTCCCAAGGAACCCCCTACACCTCTCGGGGCAGCACCCCCTACTCTCAGGACTCTGCCTACTCCAGCAGGTACAGGGTAAACACCCTCTGGGTCCCCAGATTCTGGGAGCTGCCACTGGAAAGAAGAAACCAGTAGAAAAGGGAGTTGGGAAGAATTTGTCCCTGTTTTCAGGGAACTCACTCCAGCCGGGAACCCGGCAGCATTTCCATCTCCTCTGGGACAGCGTAGAGGGCTTGGGACTGGGAACTGGGACCCTCGGGTTTGGTCATACGGAGCTAACCCAGCTCACTCCCGCGTCTTCTCTCCAGCACCACTTCCACCTCCTTCAAGCCCCGGCGGTCAGAGAACAGCTACCAGGACTCCTTTTCCCGCCGCCATTTCTCTGCCTCTTCGGCCCCCACAACCACCGCTGCAGCCATTTCTGCCACCACTGCAGCCACCGCCACATCCTCCACCTCTTCCTCCTCATTGTCCTCGTCCTCCTCGTCCTCATCCTCCCATTTCCGTGGTTCTGACTCAAACTACCCGGCATATTATGAAAGCTGGAATCGCTACCAACGCCATTCTTCCTACCCACCCCGCCGGGCCACTCGGGAGGAGCCCCCCGGGGCGCCTTTTGCTGAGAACACAACTGAGCGCTTCCCACCTTCCTACACCTCCTATTTGCCCCCTGAACCCAGCCGCCCCGCTGACCAGGACTACCGGCCTCCTGCCTCAGAGGCTCCGCCCCCGGAGCCCCCAGAACCTGGTGGAGGGGGTGGTGCCGGGGGGCCCAGCCCTGAGAGAGAAGAAGCTCAGACCTCCCCCCGCCCAGCTTCGCCCGCCCGCTCCGGCTCCCCAGCCCCAGAGACCACCAATGAGAGCGTGCCCTTTGCTCAGCACAGCAGCCTGGACTCGCGCATTGAGATGCTGCTGAAGGAGCAGCGCTCCAAGTTTTCTTTCCTGGCCTCTGACACAGAGGAGGAGGAAGAGAACTCGGCCGCAGGCCCTGGGGCGAGGGACACAGGGATTGAGGTGCCTTCTGGTTCGGGTCACGGGCCCTGCACGCCGCCTCCAGCCCCCGCTAATTTTGAGGATGTGGCGCCTGCAGGGAGCGGGGACCCAGGGGCCACCCGGGAGTCTCCCAAGGCCAACGGACAGAACCAGGTGAGTTGGGCTCGGCCAGCGGAGGTACCTGAGTCGAGGGGGCAGGGTTGAGCCCAGAGGGGGAGGGAAGGAAACTAGATGAGAACAGATTTGAGAAGCAGCCCAGGGAACACCCTCCTCTGCACCCCTACAGGCTTCGCCGTGCTCTTCTGGAGAGGACATGGAGATCTCCGATGACGACCGGGGCGGCTCACCCCCTCCGGCCCCAACGCCCCCCCAACAGCCTCCCCCTCCGCCCCCACCGCCCCCTCCTCCTCCTCCCTACCTGGCTTCCCTTCCCCTTGGCTATCCCCACCAGCCTGCCTACCTCCTCCCACCCCGACCTGATGGGCCACCGCCCCCCGAGTACCCCCCGCCTCCTCCGCCACCCCCCCACATCTATGACTTTGTGAACTCCCTAGAGCTCATGGATCGACTCGGGGCTCAGTGGGGAGGAATGCCCATGTCCTTCCAGATGCAGACCCAGATGTTAACTCGGCTCCACCAGCTGCGGCAGGGCAAGGGCTTGACTGCTGCCTCGGCAGGTCCCCACGGCGGGGCCTTCGGGGAGGCCTTCCTCCCGTTCCCGCCCCCTCAGGAGGCGGCCTACGGCCTGCCCTACGCTCTGTACACACAAGGGCAGGACGGCCGAGGGGCGTACTCCCGGGAGGCTTACCACCTGCCTCTGCCCGTGGCCGCTGAGCCCCTGCCCTCCTCTTCAGTCTTGGGAGAGGAGGCCCGACTACCTCCAAGGGAGGAAGCAGAGCTGGCGGAGGGCAAGGCCCTGCCGTCAGCGGGCACTGTGGGCCGCGTGCTGGCCACCCTCGTCCAGGAGATGAAGAGCATCATGCAGCGAGACCTCAACCGCAAGATGGTGGAAAACGTGGCCTTTGGAGCCTTTGACCAGTGGTGGGAGAGCAAGGAAGAGAAGGCCAAGGTGAGGGCCAGGGCCGGGGCCTGGGTGAACTTGGGGCTCCTTGCGGGGAGTAAACCTCTTGCTTCTCCAAGCTACCCAGCTCAAAAGAGGAGGGTGATCGAGGCACGTGGACTGGCCTGGGACACTGGTCGGACAGGGAATTGGGCCGGGAGGGCAGTAGGAAAGCCTGAGCTTGAGAGTCTGAGGAGCTGTCCTGGCTCCACTGCTGACTTGCAGGGGACAAGGCCCTTCAGTATCTGGACTTGGGTCTTCAGTGCCCCGCTCTGTGAGGGGGAAGGATAGTGCGCTTCCTGAGGTTGATGGGACTGAGTGAGCAGGTTCTGGGCAGCACGCCACCGGGGCTGGTCGGGGGGTATGGCATGGTGTGATCGGACGGAGGAGAGAGTAGATGCCGTCTGTTTTCCTGGGCCCGGGAGTAGTTCCAGGCAGGAGACAGGAGGGAGCACCTGGGCTCTGAGGCTCAGTCCCCTTCTGCCCGCAGCCATTCCAGAATGCAGCCAAACAGCAAGCCAAGGAGGAAGATAAAGAGAAGACAAAGCTCAAAGAGCCCGGCCTGCTGTCCCTCGTAGACTGGGCGAAGAGCGGGGGTACCGCAGGCATCGAGGCCTTCGCCTTTGGGTCAGGACTGCGAGGGGCCCTGCGGCTGCCTTCTTTCAAGGTACCCAGGACTGGGGTCTTGCCTAGTAGGAGGGGACAGGGCATCCCCCCTCCTTGGGTTTGAGGTGTAAATGGACCTTGTCTCTTCCCACCCCCAGGTAAAACGAAAAGAGCCTTCAGAAATTTCAGAAGCCAGCGAGGAGAAGAGGCCCCGGCCTTCCACTCCAGCCGAGGAAGACGAAGATGGTGAGTGGGAAGGTTGGGTAGAAGGAGAAAGGGGAAAGGTTATTAGATTCTGACAGGAAAGCAAGAGGCAGGGTTAACGGTGTCTTAAAGGCAAAGAGCCAAGTGGAGATTTTGGTAGAGGGTTAAAAGAAAGTGGTTTTGCCCTAACCAGTTTGGCTAGGTGGATGGAGAATCCGCCTGTGGACTGAAGAGTCCCAGGTTCGATTCTGGTCAAGGGCATGTACCTTGGTTGCAGGCACATTCCCAGTAGGGGGTGTTGCAGGAGGCAGCTGATTGATGTTTCTCTCTCATCAATGTTTCTAACTCTCTATCCCTCTCCTTTCCTCTCTGTAAAAAATCAATAAAATAGATTTTTAAAAAATAAAAGTAAATAAAGCAGTTTTGAGAGTGGTGAAAAGCTTCAGATGCGACCATGCTGGATTTTAGTTATGGTTTTTACACTGGTATATTGATTTACATTTTCTGTATTTTAATTTTCCTTTTATAAAATGGAAATAATAACATTCACCTCTAAAGATCACAGAATTTCAAGGTTAAATAGGTTAAGCTCTATGCCTTCTACCAGTTGGTCTAAGTTTAAGTGTTGGTTGACAGCTTGTGTCTAGAAAACTTCCTTATTGAGTCCGATCTGCTTCCTGGAAACCCATTGGCCTTAGCAGTGTTTCTTGGGCCAGGCATCTGCCTCTTCCATCCCACCCAGAGAACAGTGAGAGATAAATGAGTGTGATATGTTTAAACTGGAAAATAGAAGGTATTGCTGAGGGCTTTGCGCTGAGCGTCAGCTTCTTGTCTATAAAACGAGGTCTGTCTGTGGGGCTGGGAGGAAGATCAGTGACAGTGTGTGCACAGCTCCTTTCACGGGGTCGAGAAATGGTAACTTACTGCTGACGGTGACTTGTCCTAACTGCCACTCGCCCGCCTAGACCCTGAGCGAGAGAAGGAGGCTGGAGGGACAGGACGTCCGGGGACCAAGCCCCAAAAGCGCGATGAAGAGCGAAGCAAGACCCAGGGCAAGCACCGCAAGTCCTTTGCTCTGGACAGCGAGGGGGAGGAGGCATCCCAGGAGTCCTCCTCGGAGAAGGTGAGCAGCCAGGGCGCCGCTCCCGGCCCGGAGCCTGCTTCCTGGGGTGCTGTGCCAGGCCGCTTCCCTCTGGGCTGGCACCCAGGCAGTGTGCCCTATAGCAGGCCAGATGCCCTTTCCTGTGAGTCCCTATTTGTCCCTTTCCTTGAGGAGGACGAGGAGGAGGAGGAAGATGAGGAAGATGACGATCATGAGGAAGCCATGGATACTGCAAAGAAGGAGGCAGAGGCATCAGATGGTAAGCACAGACAGTACAGTAGAATCCTGGCTTGGGGAGAAAGGGGTTCGGCCACCTGCCTCATCCTATTCTGAACCCACGTGTTGCTGCTGGATTTGTTGGCCACCGTTGTCCTCCCCCAGAACAACTCTTTTAGCTCTCCCTTTTGGCACCCTTAGCTCATGTAAACAACGACCCCAGTACCCAGAGTGTTCCCTCCTGCTTACTCCGCTGCTGAAACAGGGCTTCCCCTGAAGACAGCCCCGCAGAGCCTCTCTCTTTCCAGGCCCTGGAAATAAGAGTGCGCTCTCCGGCTGCCCTCAGATGCTACCAGAGCCAGCCTTTCTGTCTCTGAGCGCTGCTCTTCCTTTAAGGCCCCGTTCTGAGCGTGTCTCCCTCTTCCCCTGCCGCTGCCATTACCAGGCGCCGTTGTGCTCTTTGGTTGAATATTTGTTCGTTCCTCCACGTTTATTGAGGCGTGGGTACATGGTTAGTCTTTCTTTTCGTTCCTTTGTTTAGAAATATATAGGGTAGGGGAAAAGTCAGGTTTACAGTTGTTTGTACAGTAATGCAAAAGAATAAGAAAAGAATAAACTGTGCTTCACATTCTCGCAACTTGTAAACCTGCTTTTGCTCCACCCTGTATATTGAGCCCCTGTTCTGGCAGGCACTGTTGTAGGTGTTGGGGACACCCCAGTGGCCAGGACAGATGGGATTTCTGCTTTCGAGGTGCTCATGATCAGTTGGTGACAAACAAGTGAAGAGAGAGTTTTTGAGATACAGATGTGTGTTTTGAAGAAGATAGAATAGGTGAATGAGGCAGAGTAGTGGGTGGGAGAACTGGGGAAAGATGGACTGTTTATGTCTGATGGTGCCATTTCTGCAGAGGCCAGAACGGGAGACTGGTGGTCTGAGAGCCTCTGCTCAGTGAAGTGCGGGCCGAGCTCCCGGCCGGGACCGGGGTGTGTGGCCCTGCACATCCGCTTGGGCTGGACATCTTCCAGTTTCTTGAATTGTCGCCTGAGATCCTGCTATGCTGCCCTCTCACTTAGGGGCTACAGCTGTTTTGAATGGTTTTCCTGTGTCCATTTCCATTCTTCCCTCCATTCCCAGCCTTTTTCCAGCCTATTGATGGAAATTGTCCCTAAAATGCACACTGGACTTTCTGTAAAGTCTTTTCCTGGCTCCCTGTTTTCCACAAGGTGACTCCTCAGCCTGACACTTCAGGTCATTCATAATCCCGCTCTTGTGTGTCTGTTTGGGATCATCTTGTCATCTTCCAGACCCTCCCTGGCCACCAGTGCCTTCTATTCTAGTTTACCCAATTACGTTCCTCAAAGACTGCAAAATTCTTCATTCTTAGGGCCCTTACAATGTATTACCGTGTCCTAGAAATACAGAGCATGTAACAGCCCTAAGCTTATTCCACCTGGAGTCCAGCAAGTGTCTCTAAGAACCGCTGTGGGGAAAGCTTCGGTAGTTCAGAGGACTCTCACCAGTCTCTCAGCACCTCATCTTCTCTTAACCTGACATCCCTGCTCAGCCCATGTCTGGCTGCTGAACTCCTACTTGTCTGTCTGGATTCGCCATCTCCTTCACAGGGGTGCCTTCCTTGACGCGGCCCTCCAGGCAGAAGTCAGGGTTTCCCTTTGCCAGGCTCCCCAGCCCTTCCCGCTGAGGCTTACACAGTGGGAGTGAACTGTGTGCCGACCCAGCTCCTCGAGGCGGGCTTCCCAGCGCCTCGCACAGAGCCCACCGCATCCACAGTATGAGTCAGTGACGGAGCCAAGTGCGGGTCTTCCCGCCTCGCCTGATTGCCCCTTCTGGATTTCCAGGCGAGGACGAGGGAAGCGATTCGTCCTCCAAATGTTCTCTGTATGCTGACTCAGATGGTGAAAATGATAGCACCTCGGACTCAGAGAGTGGCAGCTCGTCCAGCTCCTCATCTTCCTCATCTTCCTCCTCATCGTCATCATCGTCATCCTCATCTGAGTCCTCTGAAGAAGAAGAGGAAGAAGAGCAGCCAGCAACCACCTCCTCAGTGTCACCACCTAGAGACGTCCCTGTGCCCCTGCCAGCACCGGTGGAGGAACCCAAGCCAGAGAGGACTGCGGGCTCCCCCATCACCCCGCTCCCTGAGCAGGAGAAGTCTCCAGCACGGCCTGCAGGTACGTGGTGTGAGTGACCGCATTCCGGGCCAGTAGGTCGGAGAAAGAGCAGTAGGCTGGAATGAGGTAGGTATTTGAGAGTAGTGAGAGTTTGGATGTGAAATATGTGGACCCTAGAACAGCGGTCGCCAGCCTTTCGTACCTCACGGACCAACACCGGTTGGCGACCGCTGCCCTAGAAGGATGTCTGGGATGAGATGGGCCAGAGCTTATAGTCCTTTTTTTTTTTTTTAATATTCTATTGATTTTTCACAGAGAGGAAGAGAGAGGGATAGAGAGTTAGAAACATCGATGAGAGAGAAACATCAATCAGCTGCCTCTTGCACACCCCCTACTGGGAATGTGCCCGCAATCAAGGTACATGCCCTTGACCTGAATCGAACCTGGGACCTTTCAGTCCTCAGGCCGGCGCTCATTCCACTCAGCCAAACCAGTTTCAGCGAGCTTATAGTCTTATAAGAGACAGGTGGGCAAAGGGGAGCCAGCAGAGGCTGAAAGGAGGGATCAGGTAGGCGGGAAGGAAAGTGGGAAGCTTGGAGTTTGTGAAGGAGGCAGTGGCTGTGTCAGCAGACCACCAGAGAGGTTGTAAGATAGGAAAAGTGTCTGTTGGATTTGGCGGTTAGGTCACTGGTGACCTTATCAATTTCACAGAGTGGATCGGACTGGAGCCAAGTTATGGGAGTGAGGACAGGCAATAGAGATAACCAATCTTCTGGGAGGGTAGACTAGTCTTGTGAAAGGAAAGAGAATTGAGGGTTGTAATTATGTTAGCATTTATGTCTCCTGCATGCCCTGTACTGGGGATTGAGCCCGAAACCCAGGTGTGTGCCCGTGAACAGAATTGAACCCGGGACCCTTCAGTCCGCAGGCCCACGTTCTACTCACTGAGCAAAACAGCTAGGGTTTTTTGTGTGTGTTTTTTTAATTATTATTATTTTTAATATATTTTTTTACAGAGAGGAAGGGAGAGATAGTTAGAAACATTGATGAGAGAGAAACATCGATCAGCTGCCTCCTGCACATCCCCTACTGGGGATGTGCCTGCAACCAAGGTACATGCCCTTGACCAGAATCGAACCTGGGACCTTTCAGTTTGCAGGCCGACGCTCTATCCACTGAGCCAAGTCGGCTAGGGCAATCCTCACAACATTCTTATTCCCATTTTACAAATGAGGACTTCGAGGTTTAGTGAGATACCCAAGGTCACCCAACTGGGATTGGAGAGACAGCAAGAAGCAGGGTTGTGGCGGGTTAGGTGAGACTTGAGCATGTTCATACCTGAAGGGAACAGGGGGAGATGAGCCAGGAGATAGCATGTGTTGGCATGGGGAAAGGGTGTCCTCTGGGTCCGATGCTGATCTGTCTGTGAGTAGGAGGTAAGGCGGTGTGAGGTTCATACCTGAAGGCCCCTTTTTTCACTTTGCAGTAGGAAAGTGGGACATCTTCTGAGGCAGAGGTGGCTGGGTGGAGTAGAAGCCTTGGGAAGAGAAGGTAGTGGGAGCGAGGATGAAAGCTGACTGGATTTGCCACAACTCAGAAGCCCTGCTGAGGCTGGGGTCATGGGTCAGGGTGGGGTAGAGTTAGGGTTGGGGTCTGCAGGAGAGAGGCGGTAGAAGGATGTAGGAAGTTCTGTGAACGAAGAGGACAAAATGAGAGCCCCTGCAATTTGGGCATGAGAAAGAAAGACGTTACCTTAGCAGGAGGGTGATAGGCTGGAGCGAGAGAGAAGGATGGGAAATGGAAAAGGTTCAGTGGGCCTGGGCCAGTGCGACTCAGTGGTTACAGTGTCACCTCACACCAAAGGTCTCGAGTCTGATTCCTGGTCAATGGCACGTACCTGGGCTGCAGATTTGGTCCTTACTCAGGATCAGGGCACATGTGGGAGGCAATTGTAGTTTCTCTCAATCGATGTTTCCCTCTCTCTCACTCTCCCCCACACCTCCCGCCCCCTCTCTCTGAAGAGCAATGGAAAAAACACCTTCAGTGGTGAGGATTAACAAAAAAGAAAGAAAAGGTTCGGACGGATTGTGGTCAGAAGGTACGGAGTCAGAGTGTAAGTTTCAGGTGGAGCTAGTCCGGAAGGTGACAGTCAGGTGTGTGGCTGCGGAGGTAGCTGAGGAGGGAGGCGGCCACTGGAGATGTGAAATGGGGTAAGTAGGTGGGACATCAGAGTTCCTGAAATAGATGGCAAGGGTGGGAGAGGGCAAGACCGTTACGCAGATCCCTTAGTTTTTAGGAAATGATAGGGAAATGCAAGTTACCACGGACACACTGACCAGAGGACCGTGTGGCCCAAAGGGACCCCACAGACAGGCCTGCTGCCGTTAGCACTTGCTTTTCTTCTGACTTCCAGTCTGGTTCCTCCTGCAGATGAATTTCCTCTGCCACAGAGAGCCCCCTCCTGTCCCAGAGCCTTCCTCCAGGGAGTTCCTGGCTGGGCTGGCTGGGTCGGGCAGCCATCCGTTAACGGGGGTCAGTCATACAGTAGAAACTGGCTTCTGGGAGGTGGTAAACTAGGAAGGTGCCAAAGGCTGTCTCCCTAAGTGAAAGGCGCGGAGGGGAATGTGTGTGAAGGAGCTGAGCCAGGAAGGGAATTGCGTTTCTAAGAGCCAGGCTTCTGGAGGGCAGAGTGGGTCAGGCTGAGAGGATGGGGGGGCGGGAGGGGGCTGTCCCAGAACGTTGGGGAGAGTGATGAGAGGACTCGAACTGGAGCACCTGGGACGAGCACCACAGGCCTTGCTGGCTCAGAGTGGACACCAGGTGGAGCCCGGAGCCTTAGGAAATGCAGGCAGAGCTTCCTGAGGTTGCCAGATCGGGGAACATCTGTTAAGGCTTTGGACACATGTGGTCACTGCCTGCTCTGCCCGGCCTGGCGCTGGCTGCCCTGGAGCTCTGTGAGTGGCAGAGCTAGATATGAGTCCCAATGCAGAGCGTCCAGCTCAGCGTGGGGCAGTGGGAAGAGTACAAACAGCTCTGGCTGCCGGTGTGGATCTTACTCACATTTGCTAGCTGTGTGGCCTTGGCATGTTATTTCCCTCTCCCTGCCTCAGTGTCCTTTTCCGTCAAATGGGGCTGACAACATACCCATTTCCTAGAGTGGTTGCGAGAATTAAATGAGTTTCTATATGTAAAGGGCTTGGATTAGTGCTTGGCATAAAACATCAGCTATTAGTCGGTGCAGCCAACCTGAAGACAGACAATGGAGAACCACCAGTCTCTAGTCCTGAGAGGAAGGTGTTACCGGTGTTTGAGGAAGGCGGGAAGCCTTCAGAAAGGAGGTGGCATTGAGCTGAGCCTAAAAGCTGATGCAGTTTTCCCAGCAGGCAAGGGGAGAGGCATTCCGAACCGAGGCAGCTGTCAGCAAAGCGGAGGTCTGAAAGGCCAGCTTAGGTGGCTGACACCTAGGACGAGAGGGCAGAGCGTGAACTGGCCTCAGGATTGTCTGATGGTCTGCAAGACGCGCTGCCCCGGGAACGGGCTGTCGTGCACTGAGCAGTGTTGAGACCCCTGCGTCTGCAGCAGATTTGGGGGGGGCGGGGCGGGATCCCAACAGCGAGGGTGTGCTTCCTCCGGGGGCGGTTATTAGGGGAGAGACAGCATGGCCTGTTCAAAGACAGTTCCCCTCCCTCAGGTACCCTTGTCCTTGGATCTTAGCTTCACCTTCAGCTTCTTTAGGGGGGACTTCAGGACCCTCCTCACTTGGCTAAACCCCCTGTGATGTTTGGGGGAGGGGGGTGGAGGAAGGCACGTTTTATAAAGTATTTTATCACAAAGATTCAGCTTATATTGTGTCTATTTCACCTCACTAAAGAGAGAATACTGTTTGTGGTAGAAATGATGGGTGCTTTAACTCAGACCTGGCTCACTGTAACCTCATACATGCAGCTGGCAAAAATGGTCTTGGTCTGTGTGCCTGCTGGTCGGAGGCAGTTCTGTCACCACCGGGCTTGGTTAAAAGGCTGGAGTCTGAGTTTGGCTGTGAATTGTCTCCTGTCATTGTGTCCATCGCACTGGGAGCTGAGCGCAGGTGTCTGCTGTGTGCGCGGGGGGACGGGAGTGTGAACGGACAGTAGAAGCTGTCCTGTGTCCTGTCGGGAGCCCGGTGCGCTGCGGCCGTGCAGGCGAGACAGGTGGCGTGTTCCCTGCGCGGTGTCCGCTGGCAGCGGAGAGCTGAGTGCAGCCTGTTGAAAGGCGGCGGGGTGTGGACTCCGCGGTGAGGCTGGCCAGCTGCAAGCTCGTTACGAATCAGTCTTGTGTGCTGGGCCACGAAGCTGAGCCTCTCCCTTCCCTGTGCTTCCTTCCCTAGGTTCCGCCGAGGAGCCAGCACCCAGTGCGCCCCAGCCTCCCCCAGAGCCCCCGGCTGGCCCTCCAGCCTCTGCCGCCTGCCCTGACGAGCGCCCCTCCTCTCCGATCCCCCTCTTGCCCCCACCCAAGAAACGCCGGAAAACCGTCTCCTTCTCTGCTGTGGACGAAGCGCCGGCCCCGGAACCTTCCCCAGCGGCCCCCCAGCAGGTCAAGGCTCCTGGCCCCGCCTCCCGCAAAGCCCCCCGGGGCGTGGAGCGGACCATTCGCAATTTGCCCCTGGACCACGCGTCTCTGGTCAAGAGTTGGCCTGAGGAGGTGTCCCGAGGAGGTCGGGGCCGGGCCGCAGGCCGAGGGCGCTCTGCCGAGGAAGAGGAGGCTGAGCCGGGGACAGAAGTGGACCTGGCGGTGCTGGCCAACCTGGCCCTGACCCCAGCCCGACGTGGGTTGGCTGCCTTGCCTATTGGCGATGACCCAGAGGCCACAGAGACATCGGACGAGGCAGACCGCCCGGGCCCTCTGCTCAGCCACATCCTACTGGAGCACAACTATGCCCTGGCCATCAAGCCTCAGCCCTTCCCGCCGTCCCCTCGGCCGCTGGAGCCCGTTCCTGCCCCTGCCGCCCTCTTCAGCTCCCCGGCAGATGAGGTCCTGGAGGCCCCCGAGGTGGTGGTGGCTGAGGCCGAGGAACCAAAGCAGCAGGAGGAGGGGGAGGAGGAGGAGGAAGAGGAGGAGTCCGAGTCGTCTGAGAGCAGCAGCAGCAGCAGCAGCACCGGGGAGGGGGCCATCCGGCGGCGCAGCCTCCGCTCCCACACTCGGCGCCGGAAGCCGCCCCCGCCGCCCCCTCCCCCACCGCCTCCCACCTTTGAGCCCCGCAGTGAGTTTGAGCAGATGACCATCCTGTATGACATTTGGAACTCAGGCCTGGATCTGGAGGACATGGGCTACCTGCGGCTCATGTACGAGCAGCTGCTGCAGCAGACAAGCGGGGCCGACTGGCTTAACGACACCCACTGGGTCCATCACACCAATATCCTGACCCCGTGGCGGCCTTCCCGGGAGGGGGGCGGGCTTTCCTGAGGTCGCAGCTGGGCAGTGTTCTCTTCAGACAACTTGTGTCTGCGTTTCTCTTCCTCCCTCTCCACTTCTTTCTGCCCCCGCCCTTCAGCCTGGGTCTTTCCCATCTGGCTACCGGGGTATCTTCTTTTCTGCCTCCCAAAGTGTTCCTGGCAGAAAAGGTGGCCTAAGACTGACTTCTCTCATCTTTCTGTACTCCTTGTACCAACTATGCTCAGGGCCAGTTACCCTTTCCGTGGGCTGGGACTCAGGGACGGGGGAGTGGGGCCCCAGGGACCTGGCCAGTGTGGGACCCGTTCTCTTCCTTAACACCCCCTGCACTCACCAACCTGAGCACTCCAAAACGCAAGCGGCGGCCCCAGGATGGGCCCCGGGAGCACCGGACGGGCTCCGCCCGCAGCGAAGGCTATTACCCCATCAGCAAGAAGGAGAAGGACAGGTACCTGGACGTGTGCCCTGTCTCAGCCCGGCAGCTGGAAGGGGCGGACACTCAGGTGAGGCCCTGCCCTGATCTATGCCCACCGGCATCCTCTTCCCACTGCTTCTCCGTCACGTGCTTCCGTCCTGTTCTCCAGGGGACTAACCGTGTGCTGTCGGAGCGCCGGTCTGAGCAGCGGCGGCTGCTGAGCGCCATCGGCACCTCGGCCATCATGGACAGCGATCTGCTGAAGCTAAACCAGCTCAAGGTGAGGAGCGGGGACTCCAGGAGGAGAGAGGCCAGTGGAAGGGCAGCATCATGGGGTTCCCTAGGGGTGCGGAGGGGTGAGTGGCTGGAGCTCCCCCTGCCCTGGGATGTGCAGGAAGAGCCGGAGACAGGTTGGGGAGCATCCAGCAGCAGTCTACCCTCTGCCCTCTAGTTCCGGAAGAAGAAGCTCCGATTCGGCCGGAGCCGGATCCACGAGTGGGGTCTGTTTGCCATGGAGCCCATCGCAGCCGATGAGATGGTCATCGAATATGTGGGTCAGAACATCCGCCAGGTGAGGAGTCCCACACCCAGCTCCCAGCGCAGTGGCACCTGGGATGCTGACATGAGACCCATCCAACCCTCTGGACAAAGCCCCACATGCCTCCTGCCTCCAAGGCTCAGCCATGGAGCCACTTCTTCCCTCCCTCCCTCCCTCCCTCCCTCTCCTCCCTCCCTTTCTCCTTCCCTTCCTTGCTGGTAATGGGTACTAGTAGAGCAGTAAACTAGATGTTAATGATGCAGCAAGAAACAAGGCTAGTACCTCTCCCTTTAAGGACCTCCGTTTAGCGGGGAGACAGGCACTGAACAGTAACTACAGTGAGAGGTGTTTGCTTGGTACAAAGGGGGCGTTCAGAGACCGGGCGGCTGGGACACCGGTTTACACCAGGACCTAAAGGGTGTCGAGCCCCCCAGTCTCGGGTGAGGGAGGTGCAAGGAGGGCCCGGGTCAGGCAGGGAGGGACCTGCGGCCGGAGGGCCAGGCTCCCCAGAAGTGAGGAGCCACAGGAGTAAGTTGGGGCCCACGGAGAGGACAGTTGCTGTAGAGTCAAACAGGAGAGGACCCGGGAGGTTGCAGGCTCCCTCTGGCGGCAGTGTGAGGAGAGAACTAGAGGCAGCAGTGCGGTGGGAGGGGGCTGCTGCAGAGACCCCAAAGGAGGGTTCCTGGGCGAGGCGGGCAGCCAAGGTCACAGAGTCTATGGGTCCAAGGTAGCTGGCAAGACAGGCTCTGCAGAGGGCGGGCACGGGGGTGGGGGGGTTGAGGCCATTTCTCAGGGCGCTGCCTCTAACAGCTGGGAGTGAGCCGCCAGTGAGGGGAGTGAGGAGGGGGAGCAGATGTGCGATCAGATGAGTTCCAGTCGGAGCCTCTAGAGGAGGACACCCAGCGGCTCCTGAGGTGGATTTGGCAGCAGATGGAGGTTTGGGAGACCAGCACTGAGCCGGCCGCCCAGGCCTGGGAGAGCGCGTCCATGGGGAGAGCCAGAGGCTTTAGCGCCCGTTTTCTGGGAAACAGCAGTTGCTCCTCATGCAGGAACCTGGGTCCTAATGTGGACAACCAGAGCAGCCAGGGGGGCCTGTTTGGAGGGGGGTCCTGGGAGAAGAGAGGAGTAGAATTCAGCCCGCGGAGAGACCACTGTCATCTTGGGAACGCCCACAGCCCCACGGTAGATGGGGAGCCAGGCAGACCCTCCAGGAGCAGCCAGTGCCAATGTCCCTGGGGTCCTCTTTGGGGGGCTTACAGTGGCAGTGAAGGCGTAGGGGGCTGGCCATTAGGGGGCGGGCTCCTGGAAGCAGTCAGGAGTGTCCGCAGGTGGCGTCAGTGGGAGCCAGAGAGCTACAGACCCAGGACAGGTCCTTTGGCCCCAGGATGGCGGCTGGGAGGCTGTGCGGACCCCCAGTCACAGGGGCTGCCCTCTGAGGGGCAGCTCCCTGACCGCACTCCTCCTCCCAGATGGTGGCCGACATGCGGGAGAAGCGCTACGTGCAGGAGGGCATTGGCAGCAGCTACCTGTTCCGGGTGGACCACGACACCATCATCGACGCCACCAAGTGTGGCAACCTGGCGAGGTTCATCAACCACTGCTGCACGGTGCGCTGGGGCCTGGCGGGGGCGGGGGGCGCCGGTGGACACCGCTCACTCTCCTCCCTCCTGCAGCCCAACTGCTACGCCAAGGTGATCACCATCGAGTCCCAGAAGAAGATTGTGATCTACTCCAAGCAGCCCATCGGCGTGGACGAGGAGATCACCTACGACTACAAGTTCCCGCTGGAGGACAACAAGATCCCGTGTCTGTGCGGCACGGAGAGCTGCCGGGGCTCCCTCAACTGAGGTGGGCAGCGGCGCCCACACCCCTATTTATTCCCCTGGTGCCCTGAGCTCCCAGCACCCAGCCTTAGTGGGCTCAGGAGGGCCCACGGGCCCCCATCTCTGAGTAAGGAGTTGGGCCCCTGAGCCCCGCAAGGGAGCCTCAGTCCCTAAGGCAGTGTCTGCCTCCCGTCACCCCTGCCCCCCACCCTAATTTTTTTCTTTGCGGAGAAGAAGCTGTAAATGTTTTGTAGCTGCCAGCAGCTGTTTCCTGTGGAAACCGGGGTGCCAGCCTGTATAGATCCTGTTCTTGGGGGCCGCACAGCCCTCTTGCTTTGTGTTAATGGGGACTTCCCTTGTGTGCCCTGTGTGCACCCCTCCCCAGTTTAGGGGTCTCTAGGGGCAGTGGCCATGTTCTCCCCCTGGGGAGGGGGGCCCTGTGCCTCCCAGTCCTGGGGACTCCGTGCCTGGAACCCTGCCTCGTCTTCTGTTCCTGCCAGGCCCTGTGGGTCACCCTTCTGCCCTGGTGTCTGCCAGCTCTGGTTGGGCCAGGCCAGGATGGTGGGGGGAGCGGGCCCTTCCTGTTGGGCTGGATTGTACATATGTTAATAGCGCAAACCCAATGCCACATTTTTATAATTGTGATTAAACTTTATTGTACAAAAAGTGCTTGGTCAGTATCTTTGGGAAAGAGCGGGGTGGGGTGGGGGTTGAGGTCAGGGTGGGGAAGTGAAGAGGGGAAAGTGGGTGGCCTGGAGTTGGGGCGGGTAGAGGGGCTAAGGGGCAAGAACCCGGACCCGCAGACAGCCACCATTGCTCTGGGCCACCTGATGGGCTGGAACAGCCACTAGAAATCCCCAGCAAGGCCAGCCACACCGCCAAGGTCAGCCCTTCCCAGAACCACAGCTGCTGCTGGGCTTCTCCCTCCTGGGAAATCCAGCGAGAGGCAAGGACTGACATCATGCAGGAGTGAGGTCACTCTGCCCATCCCATCCCATCCCATCCCTTCCCCCAAGCGCCGCAGTGCCCATGCAGCAGGTTTGGGCTTTCCCGACCCCCTTCCCCAAGTTCCTTGCTGGAACCAGATGCCAGTGGAGCCCAGTGGCCACCAGGGGGGGCCCTGTGGCTAGAGTAGGAGAGGAGGGGTGGAGGCTGTTCCTGGAATGGCCAGGAGGGAGGAGCGAGCGGAAGGGGACAACCATTTATCGCTGGCCCTGGCCGGAAACGAGAGAAGACCAGCTCTGGTGGCTAGTGTGGGCACCTGGGACTGTGGCTGCAGGTAGGCAGAGCTGATATCTGAGGTCCCCTTCCCTAGCCCCAGCCCTGCCCACCTCCCTCTACCCTCCCTCTCTCCTTCCCTCCCCCACTGTTTATCCCAGAACCTCCCCTCCACCTCAGACACGGAGTCCTTCCTGCAAGCCCGGACCACTTCTCAGTAACCAGGTAGCAGGGTCAGAGGGCAGGTGGCCTGGCTGCTGCACCACTAGGGACAGTTGTAGCCCCCGGTCACCGCTCCAGTCCCCTAGGCTAGAGGCCCCTTCACGGAACAGGTGGGCTGCTGGTGCCGGGCAGGCAGCACACCGCAGGAGCTCAGGGGAAGCAGCGTCTCTCCCAGCAGGACATGGCAGACTCCGCACAGGCCCAGGAGCTGGTCTACCTGGTCACAGGGGGCTGTGGCTTCCTGGGGGAGCACGTGGTCCGAATGCTGCTGCAGCAGGAACCCCGGCTCCGTGAGCTGCGGATCTTTGACCTGCACCTGGGTCCCTGGCTGGAGGAGCTGAAGACAGGTGATGGTGGAGGGGAGCTGGGGGGACGGGGGGCGTGGACTGGCTTCACTGGTGGAAAGGGTGATGCCTGTTTGTGTTCTCGGTTGCGCAGGAATGGGGCGAGTGAGTCACACTGGAAACATGTGGCTCCCAAGGGTGTAGGCTGAACCAAACAGCTGACATGGGCTCAGCTCTGACATTGCATCTGGCCGCCCATCCCTACCAGGGCCAGTGCAGGTGACTGCCATCCAGGGGGATGTGACCCAGGCCCACGAGGTGGCAGCGGCTGTGGCTGGAGCCCACGTGGTCATCCACACGGCCGGGCTGGTGGACGTGTTTGGGAGGGCCAGTCCTGAGACCATCCATGCGGTCAACGTGCAGGGTGAGGTATTCCCCCACCGTTCTTCAGACTGGCCCATGGCCTGATCTGGACTGTGTGCGCCTCCCCCCGCTAGACCTTGACCTCTGTGATTCTCCTGCGTCAGTCAGTCCTGTGTGCACTCCTGTCCCTGTAATAGAAGGCCGGCCCTCACCAACTTGCGTGGTTTTCCCTGGACATGGGGGAGGAAGCCATATGCCTTCATCGAGATTTGGGATGGGAAGGGGAAAGACATGGAAAGGGAGAGAGGTTCAGTTCGGACACACCCCGCCTCCCCAGGCACGAAGAATGTGATTGAGGCTTGTGTGCAGACTGGAACACAGTTCCTGGTCTACACGAGCAGCATGGAAGTTGTGGGGCCCAACATCAAAGGCCACCCCTTCTACAGGTGAGCTGGGTTCCCCCCTATGCTCTAAGAGCCCATCTCCCCTCAGCACTGAGTCTTCTCTCCCCCACTAGGGGCAATGAGGACACCCCGTACGAAGCGGTGCACAGACATCCCTATCCTCGCAGCAAGGCCCTAGCTGAGCAGCTGGTCCTGGAAGCCAATGGAAGGAAGGTGAGACGAGGAGACGCAGAGCCACGCCAGCCGGCTTGTGTCCTGCCCTGGCACCTCCCCTCCATTCCCAGCCGGAAGAGGGCAGGCCACCGGCTCCTAGGTATTAGCAGTGCCTACCTTTTGTTGCCAGGTCCGTGGGGGACTGCCCTTGGTGACATGCGCTCTGCGTCCCACCGGCATCTATGGTGAAGGCCACCAGATCATGAGGGACCTCTATCAGCAGGGCCTGCGCCTGGGAGGCCGGCTCTTCCGGGCCATCCCAGCCTCTGTGGAGCACGGACGGGTCTATGTTGGTGAGGCCCGGGGAGGCAGGGGGAGGCTGCATGGGTCAGGAAGGGGTGCAGTGTGTACCCTGCATGGAAGAGTGGCCTGTACATGGGCTGGGGCAGACCAGATGTGGCCTCAGGGAAACGGCATTCTTGCAAGTTGGGAAGGCAGACAAAAACATCATAGGCTGAGGGAGAGGAGAGGGGCAGCACCTACATGGGCCCAAAGAGTAGGTGGCCTGGGAGAGCAGCAGCTGCATGCATGATCACAGGGACACTCAGGGGCATGTCCACCCCTTCCCTCTGGCAGGCAACGTGGCCTGGATGCATGTGCTGGTGGCCCGGGAGCTGCAGGAGCGAGCGGCCTTGATGGGCGGCCAGGTGTACTTCTGCTATGACAAGTCACCCTACAAGAGCTACGAGGACTTCAACATGGAGTTCCTGGGCCCCTGTGGACTCCGGCTGGTGGGCACCCGCCCGCTGTTGCCCTACTGGCTACTGATGCTTCTGGCCTTCCTCAACGCCCTGCTGCAGTGGCTACTGCGGCCACTGCTGCTCTACGCGCCCCTGCTCAACCCGTACACCCTGGCCATGGCCAACACCACCTTCACCGTCAGCACCGACAAGGCTCAGCGCCATTTCGGCTACGAGCCCCTGTTCTCATGGGAGGAGAGCCGGACCCGCACGGTTCGCTGGATGCAGACCATGGACAGCTCGGCCCAGTGACGGTGGAGCTGGGCTGGAGCCCAGCGGACACATCCATCCAGGCCCCGACAGTGGGGAGGCTGCGCTCTGGAGCCGGAGGTCTGGTCCTGGAGCCTCACGGGAAACCACGAGCACCGAGTCCGTCCCGCCGCTCTCAGTTCTGGGGCAGGTGCCTCCGCTCCACCCGCCTGCTGTCTGGCTGGCGGGCTCGGATTTCCTCATGTTCTCACTGCCACCCACTGGCTTTCCAAGCAGGAAGGGAGGACACATTCCACAGGCCGCCTCTGGCCTTCCACCATCCCTGCCGGACGCAGGCCCGGGCTCAGAATGAAGGCCTTCTGGCTCCTCTACCAGCTTGTCCCTCGGGGAGGGTCACATGCCATTATTTTAATTGTTTAATTAAAACATCACCTTTTAATTCTCCTCAGTGAAAGCTGAGGAAATCCGCATTTTCACTTCTTCCCACCCCTGTGCCCACATGTAGTTCCTGCCATATTGTGAGGTCTCTGCTGAGGGTGCCCCAGAAACTGTACCTGCCATGCCCTGGATTAAAACTCCTTTATCTACATCTGTGTCCGGCGCCTGCCCAGCCCCCGGCCTGCCTCCCCGAGCGGCCCTCCCCGCGCGCCGCCCCCTGTGCGGACAGAAGGAAGTGAGCACGCAGCACGCCCGCTGTTGGATTGGTTGCTATTTCTCCCGTTCCACGGGGCCCAACCCGGCCCAGGGGTGGGGGGCTTTGGGGACAGGACATGCAGGGCTGGGGAGAGAGGGCAGAATTTTCCTGTGTTTTATCCATTTGCAACTTGGTCACCAATAGAGAGAAATGGGTCTCTGAGGGCTAACAGGAGAGGGTGGCCTGGCTCTGGGCCCCCAGCCAGGCCCCAAGAGTCCTGTCCCCTCTGGAGAGGCGAGGGAAAGCTCTAGAAACCAAAGGGGAAACAGAGGGGGCAGGGGCTCAAGTCAGCAAACACAGCTACATCACGTGACACGCCAGCGACACGGAAACACACGCCAACGCACACGGCTGCACAGCGGGCAGGGGGCAGGTGGGAAGGGAGCCGGGGGCCACCATCTTGTCCTTTGCGGGGCAGGCTGGGGGGCAGGGTGAATGCATAGAACACATCATGTACACACGCCCAAGGCGTGGCATGAGCGTGCATCGACCCACAGGCACATGGGATGGACACGCGCAGTGTGCTTTGTGAGAGGCAGAGCTGGGGTTAAAGGGGAAGGGAAGGGAAGCAGTGAGCCCTGGCCAGGCCCGGGACCACCTGGAGCACAATGGCTGTCGGTGTGGGCGGGTGGGAGCACACACACCTCCAAGACCACGTAAAAGACTCCACCCCCAGACAACACTCCAGAGCACATGGGACAGCAGCCAATAAGCAAACACATCATATGAGGCTGGGACTCAGGGAAGCTGGGGCGCAGCAGACCTTGGGGTCCTGTGGCCTGACACTGAGATGGCAGCAATGGGCCTGACACCACTCAGGGAGGCAGCAGCCTGGCTCCAGCCTCCGTGGTCCCAAGGCCGAGCGAACTCAGGAAACACCTGGCGGAAAGGGAGTCCTGGCTGGGCACCGGAAGGAAAAAGGCGGGGGGGGAGTGCCGGGGTCTTCTCTGACGCCCCTAAAAGTGAGAAGGGAGCAGGAGGGCTGCCGGCAGACACAGGGCCACTTCCTGTCCTGCAGAAGGGCATTCTGGGAATGCAGTCAGGGCCCTTCTTCAGGACAGCACACCTTGGGATTTACACATATTGGCCACACACAAGTAGAGCCCAAACAGCCAGGTGGGGAAGAGCTGGTGTGGGGCTGGGGAGGGTACTGTGTCCCAGGTCACATCTGTTCCCCCCCCTTCTCTCTCTCTCTCCCTCTCTCTCTCTCTCACTCACACACACACACACACACACACACACACACACACGGACACGCTTCACATAAAGCGGAACCCTGGGAAATGATCTGCACACAACCCTGAGTCCTTTACCCAGTGCACATGGATGCCCACACTGTGTTCAGTCCTGTTCGTGTGGATCCATGTTCCTCAGCCACGGAGCACAGGGGCTTCTAACATTATCCTTTGCTCATGCACCCCCATCAGCCACCAAACGCACAAACCTGCCTGTGCATGTGCTGCCTTCGTCAGCAGGAGCTAGCCCTTTCCTCACCGTCAGAAACCCAGGCCTGTGCCCACCTGGGTGGGGAGCAGTGATTGCAGACATTTCGGCACATGTGTCCAGGGGCTGGACCCTAGCACTTGGCCCATCCTGAGCGGCTGCTGCCACGCTGGCCACTCCGGTGCGCTTGCAACACACAGCTCCCCAGACCGAGGTCCCTGAGACGGAGCCCAGAGCATCGGGTGGGGCGAGGGAGACAAATGCTCTGAGGTAAGTGTGCGGGAGGCGGGATCTCTCATCCCTCGCTGTCTGGGGTCGCCCTCCACATTGGCCTCATCAGTCTGTTCTCACACTAGCCCTTCTAGGAGGCATTCCTGTGCGGACGGGGGCAGGCCTGTGTGCGCCCCAGTGTGCGGGGGCGCGGTCCCCTGCACCAGGCTCCTGAGCCTTGGCCTGAGTGAGCGCACGGTGTCCCGGCCCTCATGGGCACAGCCGGTCCTCCGGCAGGGACGGGAAGAGAGGCGTGTGGGCTGTGTCAGGGGCTCTGACACCTGCCCGGGCAGGAGGCGCCGCTGCACAATGTTGATATTGCAGTGTGTGGCCATCGCCAGATACTGGCAGCGGCTCCGGGGAGAGAGGGAGGGGCAAGTCAATCTGCACAGACAAACCTGGATGGGGCACGGGACCTTAAAGAGAAACGTGTGCACACAGTCAACAGGACAGAGCACTGTGGAGGAGCCTCTGTGCAGTGCACACGCATGCTCACACGGACCATCCGAACAGCATCGAAGTACGGCCTCCTGTGCCCACCCGAGCGTGCCCGGTGCCCTCAGGGATGGCTCTGTGTGAGGAGACGACCAGCACGCAGCAGATCTGACACACACGTGCTTCTCACATCACCTGCTGTGGAAATGTATGTGTACGTGCAAGCCAAGCCAGGCTATTTATACGTGTGTGCTTCCTCTTATGTTGGCTCAACTCCACAGCTCATCACACACATGCGCGCGCACACACACACACATGCACACACATGCACACATATGCACACACTCCCCTAGGACCCATGCCTGGGGTGACTCAGCCAGGAAGACTGGCTCACATCTCTCTCCGTGGGGTGCCTGCCGTGGCCTGTGAACTGGGGCCTACCTGGATCCTCTGGGAGTGAGCTCTGTACACCCACAGCCTGCCCGTTCACAGCAGATGTGGGGGAGGGTGTCAGTGGAAGAAGTGCTATTGCATTGGATTCAAACACTCCAACAACAAAGTCCATGTACACAGATATGTGCCCACAGACCTGCAGACACACACACACACACACACATACACACCTGTTCACAGAAGACAGAGCAGGGCTCGGTAGGCTGCTGTGTGATCCCAGCCACCGTCTACACAACCACTGAGCGAAGGGGAAAGCTAAGACAACACACAGACCGGTGGGGGCAAGGAGGGTGACGTGATGCTTCTACACACATCTGTGAACACACACACACACACACACACACACACACACACGCTGGGGTGTCCACTCGTCTCGAGCACATGCCGGCGGCATGCATGTTGGTGTGCATGTGTAATCACGCCTGCTGCTATGTATGTGGGGGGAGGGTCCACGGTGCAGTGAGGTCCAGGGACTCCAGGGTCTGATGGCGGGAGGTGGGTGGGGGGGTAAGGGTGGGCTGCCTGGGTCTGTCTTGGGGTGAGCCTGGAGCAGGGATGGAGTGACAGGGGTCGTGGGGGTATTGCTCCCGATGTGGTGGGGAAGGGTCTGGGGGAGACAGGGGTGGTGGGCCTACAAGCCCAGCGTCCCCCCAATGGATGACGCCAAGACCACCCCCAGCACCACACAGCAAATGATGATCATGATTTTCTTCTGCGGGCGGAGAGGGCCATGGGACAGCGTGGAGAGGGGTTTGAGAGAGAGAGACAGACACAGAGAGGGGGGAGGGTGTGAGGAGAAAGAAGAGGGAGAGAAAACAGAAAAACGCAGAGGTCAGAGCCAGAGATAAGGCCTTCGGAGAATTTCATCACTCGCCTCAGCCCAGGCCAGAGCCCGCCCCGCCCGCCCCCAGCTGGGCCGCCTGCCCCCGCCCTCTCTCGCCCCAGCTCAGGCTCACCCTCCGGGCCTTGCTCTGATATCTCACGGCTTTCTTCGTGTCAGACACAGCTCGCTCCACGTAGTCCACGGAATGTTCCACGTTGTATTCAATTCGGTCAATCATCTCGCCCTGCAGAGGGGATGTGAGGGGAGGTGTGGCTGGGCTGGAAGAGGAAGGGGGAGGGGGCTGGGCGGCTTCCAGGCGGGGTGGCGGGCAGAGGGGTACCTGGCTCTCCACCAGCATGGCCATGTCCACAAACATGTCGTGCAGCTCGCGGATGCTGGTTTCCAGTTTGATGATCTCGTTGTGCCTCGTCTCGATCTCGTTCAGCGCCTGCTTCGTCATCTGGGAGTCCATTTTGATCTAGGACGATGGGGCGGGGGGGGGGCGGCTGCTGAAGACCACCCTTCACTCCCATTAGAGCTCAGAGCCTGCAGCCAGAGCACCTGGGTCCAACCTCGCTGTCACTCACTAGCTGCAACCCTGGGCAAATGATCTCGCCTCTCTGGGCCCAGTTTCCCCCCTGGAAAACGTGGGTGATAATAGTGCCCACCTCATGCCGCTGTGAAGATTAAGGAGCTGTTAGTATGTGTACACTGATCAGAATAGTGCCTGGCATACAGGAAGCACCAAGGACAAGTTTGTTAAATTACGGGAAATAACACTGTCCCAGCCCTCCATCTTAGCCAGGGCTGCCTCTGTCACACCACAGAAGCCCCGGGAAGACAGACAGAGATCCAAGGCCCCACCAGTACTCCGGCCCCTGTCTAGTCACAGAGAAATGGAAGAAGACACAGCAGAGAGAAAGGGGTGGGAGAAGGAGAAAAGGGGAGGGAAAGAGGGAGAGGGAGAGAGGGAGAGAGGAGAGAGGAGAGGGAGAGGAGAGAGGGAGAGGAGAGAGAGAGGAAGAGAGAGAATAGCAAGCAGAGAAGGAGGCCCAGGTGAGAAGGCAGGGTGCCCACCAGTCCCCTGGACACCATGACAGGAGATGGGGAGAAATAAAGGAGTGCACTGAAGCCCGAGAGTCGGTGGAAGAGAGACTCCAACCCAGACTTAGCTGCACCTCCTCCCCACGATGCCTGGCCTGAGCCAGCCGCTCACTCCTCAGAGCATTCGCTGTTTAGGCCACGTCAAGCCCCTCCTCTGCTCTAAGACCTGCCAGGGCTCCCCTATCCGCAGGGTACACACCTTATCTTTTTAAAAAATATGTTTTTATTGATTTCAGAGAGGAAGGGAGAGGGAGAGAGAGAAACATCAATGATGAGAGAGAATCATTGATCGGCTGCCTCCTGCACACCTCCTACTGGGGATTGAGCCCGAAACCGGGGCATATGCCCTTGACCGGAATCGAACCCAGGACCCTTCAGTCTGCAGGCAGATGCTCTATCCATTGAGCCAAACCGGCTAGGGCCACACCTTTATCTTAGCAGTCAAGGTGCAGGCTCCTTTTCCACCCTCATCTCCTGCTCTCCAGCAGGAGCCAAAATTGTCCAATGGCTGTCTGGCAAGTGGTCCACTCTCCCTGTCTCTGTCCAGTCTGGTCCTCCATCCATAGTGGCCTTTGCCCATCACCCGTCCACACGCTCCTTGTCTCTTCAGGCTCAGCTTGTCTCTTCAGGAGCCTTCCCTGGCTGTGTGAGTCAACTACCACAGCGCCCGCCTGCGTCTTGCAAAGCCCTCAAGCAAGGTGCCAGCCACCTGCACGGGCTGGTTCGCTGGCAGGGATCAGCTCTGCCTCCTTAGAACCACTCACCAGCTTCCCTCCGTCCTCAGACAAACAGCCTGAGACCAAGAGCTGTCTGCAGAGCTCCAGGCTAGATGCCCACAATCAATTTGCTCAAAGCTAATCTAACAAAGGCCAATTATCTAAGGGACAACAGGCTAGAAAGTCCCTGAACATATTTCAGCCTGGTCTAGACCTTACATAGAGCCATTCCACCACCAGAAGCACAGGCAGACCGACCTGACAGGCCAGGGTAAAACTCAAAAGAGAAAGAAGAACCGCAGCTGGGGAAGCCCGTCCATCCACATACACGATGACAAGGCAGGACAGCATGCAAAACTAAAACAGGGATTTTAAAAAATTTTCAAAAGGTTGACAGATTAGTCATTGGGTGAGATAGCCTGCATCAGTAGGGCATTCCGTATCTTAGTCCCGAAGAGTCCGGATCACCACCTGCGTGTGGATTCCAGCACTGGCTCTCCCCGAGCTGTGACCTCAGCCAGTTACCTAACCCCTTTGGGCACCGTTCCTCACCGTGAAAGGTGCTCCCTCGGGGGGTTGTGGTGGGGGTGAAAGGAGGTTAGTAGGTAAATGTGAGTATGTAAAGTGCTTCAAACAGGCCTGGCACACTACTGTCCGCCACTTTTATGGGGGTGCCTTCCTGTTCTGCTCCCATGGAATTCCCCAGTTCCAGGGCCAGGCCTCCCCTGCCAGCTACTGCAGGTGGACTTAGGACCTTCAGCTTAACCCAAGTTTGGGGAGGAGATGCAGCTGCTTTCCAAAACAGGCCAGCCCCCGCCCGCGCTCACATCATCCGTGAAGATGGCCAACTTCCCGCTCTCCAGCATGTCTTCCAGTTCTTCGTTGGTTGTGGTCCTTCCGGCTGTTGGGAGGAAGGACTCCATGCTCAGGGCTGGGCGAGCCTGCGCCGGGGTGGTGGGATGGGGCAGGGACCCGGGACACCACCCTTCCATGGGGCTCTAGGCCAGGCGCCCCTCCACCCAGAAGAAGGGCCTGGCAGGAGGCCGGGCAGGCCCGGGAGTCTGCAGGGGAGGCACACGCACTGATCTCCAGCTGCCGCTGGATCCTGTCCTTGCAGCGGTCCCGGTACTTGGACTGGGTCGCGTTATATTCGGTCATTACTTCCACGAACTTCCGGGAGAGTGTAGAATGCTAGGGTGGGGGCAGGGCAGAGACCAAGGGGAGCCGTCAGTGCACACGTGGAGTGGAGAGGAGGGGTGACCACGCCCCACCCCAATCCCCCACAAGAGTACAGTCCCCTTCTGCTTGTCTCCCCATCTAACGCCCAGACCAGCGGCGGCCCAGGCCTGGGCATTAGGATGTGACCGGTACCCGCCCCCGTTATAACTCCGCCCCCGCCGTAACCCCGCCCACCTGCCCCTCCCCCAGCTGTAGCCCCACCACAAACCGCCCTCCATCGTAACTCCGCCCACATGCCCCTCCCTCCGCCGTAACCCCGCCCTCCACTGTAGTCACGCCCCCACCAGCAAGGCCCCGCCCCGGCTCCGTCCAGGACACGCCCCCCGGCCGCCTCCCACCTGAGTCTTGCGGATGCGCAGGTCCGCGGAGGAACGGTTCAGGCCCTCCTCCTGCTCGATGCTCTGCTCGATCGCTGCGGGAGAGAGGGTGCACTGACGGGCCGCAGACCCGGGGCGTGCGGGGCGGGGGTCCGGGGCGGAGGAAGGGCCGACACCCCGAGGCAGGACAGATTGGACGGTGCGGGAGTCCGCCCCTCTCCCCGCGCCCTACAAGGCAGCCCTGTTCCAGAATTCCCGCTTCTAAAGGATTCTGGAAAAGCACACAGATTAACTGGAGTTTCTGCTTCTGGATCATGCACTCCTGACGCTTATCCGGATTTTCTCAAACAGCTTGCAGCTAGGTGTCCTGAGCTCGGAGACTCAGCGGGGAAGTCACCACCAGGCCCGTTCCTGTTCCTGTTCTGCTGGCAGCAGGGAGCTATGGGGCTGGATGGCACCCCACTGCCTGCCAGCAACGAGGAGCAGTGACCGAGGGGCAGCTTAGGCCCAGCTGCTGCAGGAAAGGCCCCCCTTGCCCCAGGGATGTCAGAATCTCTGGTCCAGACTCGGATCCTATGGTCAGACGTGGGCCTGGAGCGTACCCCTGGGCGAAGGGGTCCTTTACTTTGCAGTCTCACTGACTTCTTACAAAAATCCCCGGAGGTCGGTGATCCCAATCCACTGTCAGACTAGAAACTGAGGTCCAAATGGGCAAAACAACTCGAAGTCACACACAAAACCTGAGCTCATGCCACCACACAGCTGGAGAAGATGGAGAAGAGGGTCTCCTCTTTCTGGGGTCTGGAAGGTCAGCTTCTAGAAGCTTCTGCCACTTTTCCTAGTCTCTCGATCTTTTCCCGAACCCCTAAGCCATGGAGCCCTCCTCATGGTCCAAAGAGAGACAGTAAGGTCAGAGCTTGAGGGGCTCTGGAAGTCACCAAGCCCAGGGATCTCTAAGCTGGGTTCCGTGGAACCCTGGTTTTGAGAAGGAACTTGACCGGGACGAGTGTTTCGGCCCCAGCTCAGCCAGAGCAGCCTGACTTTTATGTGCTGTATATATTGGGGTTCTTTATAAGATTTCATTTGGAAAGAAAGGATTTTGCTACCAGAAAAAAAAAAAAAAAAAAAGCCAGCTTTGAAATGGCTCCCATTTTTCTTGCTGAGGGCAGGGTCTGGTCCAGTGGGTGAGGATGTGCACGGGGCTCCCTCTGCCTGGAGCTGGACTCCATGCGTGCCCCGTTTGGGTCATGTTCCTTGCCAGCACACGCTCCCGGGTGCACACGGCTTGTTCTCTCAGATCAGCATGAGCCAACGCACGGCCTCCTGTCGAGCCCGGGAGGGCACCAAGCCTCCGTCCTCGTCTCCCCGGTCCAAGGTCACAGCACGCAGGCCCGGGCAGCTGGCACGGTTCCCTTCCCCCGGAGCCCAGCGTGTGGCCCGGGCGGAGTAGGGGCTTGGCAAACGTTTCCTGCCGCTGAATTACCGTGAGCATACAAGGTGGCATCAGGACAGCACTGCCATTCCCCTGGCACCGCGGACAGGGAGGTTCCCAGCCCACAATGCCTCGGGGGAGGTGGTTATTACCGGCACCCAGGTCCTTAAATTAGAGCGAATACGTGAGCATTTGGCAAGTCCCTCCTGAGAGCCTGCCAGCCCCTGATGTCAGCCGCCCCGTCCAATCTGTCCTGAGCCGAGGGTACCAATTCAGAGGCATTTGCTGGACCCACCTACTGGGCGCCGCGGACGATGCCTGCACCTGCTCCGGGGAAATGAGTCCTCGGTGAAACAAGCCATTTGGGAGGCTCTGTTTTCCTGACGGACCTTCACGCTGATGGAATCAGCAGAGCTCACATACAATCTGGCCAGCCCGCCCCCTCTCCCTCATTCCCATCGTGTCTCTTTCCTCAAAGAATCTGGAGCAAGGAGGGAAAGTGGGCGGTGGCTTTCTCCCGGGTGAGAGCCTGGCTCCCAGGAGGGTGTGGACATTCCTGAGAGGCAGAGCTCTTGGCTCCTGAGTCGGGGGGTTGCAATCCTCACCTTTCAATTTGGACCGAACCTTGTTGGCCGTCTTCTTGATGTCTGCAGTGAGGTCCTCCAGCTCCTGTTTGGTCTCTGAGGAGGGGCGGGGAGAGTGAGAAGTCTGGGTGGACCCGGCCCAGCCCCCGCACTCGGAGCGGCACTCACTCTCGTCCGGGTTGGGGGCGGCCAGGATGGCGCTGTGCTGCTTCTTCACCTGCTCCACGTCCTCCGACAGCTTCTCGATGCAGCCCCGGATCTCCTCCACCTGGGGCAAATCGGCGGCCCAGGCCGAGTCTTCAGCCAGACAGGGACCCGCAGGGCTCACTCGGGGTTCAGGGAAATGGGCCAGACCCAGAGGGACTGGTAAAGGCCCAGGGGTGTAGGACTAGAGGGAGGGGTTGTTGGCTGGGGGCCGGGTTCTGGGTCTGGGTACTGGAGACTCAGTTACCTGCTCAAAGAACTCATCCATGAAGTGGTCCCGATCCACGTGGACCACCTCCTCCTCATCGTCACTGTCTTTCGCCTGCGAGACAGAGGAAGGTGGAGGCCATGAGCAGCCCGCCTGGTCCTCTCGCCGCCAGCGTCCCGGTCCTCCCCACCAGTGTCCCGGTCCTCCCCCGCCGGCGCCCCGGTCCTCCCCACCAGCGTCCCGGTCCTCCCGCCGCCAGCGTCCCGATCCTCCCCTCCAGCGTCCGGGTCCTCCCCCGCCAGGGCCCCGGTCCTCCCGCCGCCAGCGTCCCGGTCCTCCCGCCGCCAGCACCCGGGTCCTCCCCCGCCAGCGCCCCGTCCTCCCCAGCCGGCGCCCCGGTACTCCCCACCCCCCAGCGCCCCGTCCTCCCCCGCCGGCGCCCCGATCCTCCCCCCCCCCCCAGCGCCCCGGTCCTCCCCCGCCGGCGCCCCGGTCCTCCCCACCAGCGCCCCGTCCTCCCCCGCCGGCGCCCCGATCCTCCCCCCCCCCAGCGCCCCGGTCCTCCCCCCGCCGGCGCCCCGGTCCTCCCCACCAGCGCCCCGTCCTCCCCCGCCGGCACCACGGTCCTCCCCCCCTCCCCCAGCGCCCCGGTCCTCCCCCGCCAGCGCCCCGTCCTCCCCCGCCGGCGCCCGATCCTCCCCACCAGCGCCCGGGTCCTCCCGCTGCCAGCGCAGGGCACAGCAGGAGGCTGGGAGGGGCCGGATGGGGGGGCAGCGCCAGCCCCCCCCCCTCCGCCCACCCTGCAGTCAGGATGAACGGGGCTGTGGGTGGAACAGCAAATCCGGGGCCAGGTGGCCGATGGGGAATTAGCAACAGGCGCCTCTCAGGGGAGGATGTGGCCCTGGGAAGGCAGTCACCTGGAGGCAGTGGCCACAGGACACCTGCTGTTAGCCAACCAGGACAGAGGTACCTCGGTATTGTACCAGCAGCTCACTGTCAGCCTGGCAGGCACTGGCTCTGGGCACTGAGGAGGGGTCTGGGATGGAGTTCCGGGTACCTGACCCTCTCCGCCATCCCTCAGCCACTGGGGCCTCACTTTGCTCCCCTCTTCTTCCAGCCACGTCCCCTCTACAAGGTCAGTTCACTGCCAGCAAGCAGTCAGCCGGTGAGGGCTGGGGAGACACAGCAGCACCCCTCCCTTCTGTGTCTTCCTCCTCCTGCCCACCCGCACCCCCTCAGCTGCTCTGCCCCCGCTGCCCGCTGCTCCCCGGCTCTCCTCCGTGTAGTCACTTGCTTTCATCCAGCCTCTCCCAACCTCACACCCACCTCCTCTCACTGGCTTGGATTTCCTAGTTGCAACCTGCAGCTGCTCAGCCTCCGCCCCCAGGGCTCAGAGACACAAAGGGATGTACACACCCACACCTCCACCGAGAGCGGTGACACACAGGCAGACAGACCCACTGACACCCACACGGAGACGCTAACATGCTGACGTCCACCCACACGCAGACCCATGCAGAGCGGCATGCAGTGCGAGTGGACACACTGGGGAGGCCCCGAGCCTGGGCTGCACACTCGCTGGGAGCTGGGAAAGGGGGGAGGCAGGGAGGCTCACCAGAGCCACACTCCTGCCTCAACAGTCTCTGCGGGGGGGCAGACGTCGGGACAAAGCTGAGCCCTCCAAGCGAAGTTACATCTGGAGCCGAGTAGCCCCACAGGGAACTTAGCGTTCACCCTGAGTCCCAGGAGGAACCCAACCACCACTCAGATCTCAGTCCGGAGCCTGAATGGAATCAAGGCGGGATCCACAAAGCGTCTGGCCGGCAGGGCCGGGGGAGCTAAAGGGAAGGGCTCACAGGGAACCTCACGGGCCCAAGCCGATCGCAGGCAGAGCCTGGCAGAACCAGACGGCTCCGACCGAACCAGACTCGGCACAGACGCGTGCCAGACAGCGCAGATCGAACCTAGACAGCCAGATGGGACCGAGATACAATCTAGCAGCCGGGGGAAGCGGGATCGCAGAGCCCGAGAGCACAGGAAGGAGCCGCCAGCCTGGAGAAGACCCCGCCGGACTCAGAAGCCACCGGCCGCCTGCCCGGAAACGCAGGGATTCTCCGCAGACGGCCCACACCACGTCGGGAAGGGTGAGGCACGCACATCCGATTTCCGGAGAATCCCAGTACCCGCCAGGAAAGGGAGGCGACTCCCGGAGAAGGGTGGCCCCAGGTAGGCCCCTGACCCGGGACGCCCCCTAGACCCTGGCCTTAGAGGCTTGGGGATCCTGGCTCATCTCTGAGCGCCACCAGCCTCCCACGATGCTCTGTCCTCGGAAAGCCCGCTGCCCCCGAGGACTCCTTCCTGGCCCTAAAGCCAGCCTCTGCCCTCTCCGCCTCCTAGCACTCCACAGCCCAGCTGCCTCAGGTCCTGAGGCCTCGCCTTCCTGTTCTCTGTCTCTTTCCCTTCCACGTGCTGACTTAGACTTCCTGAAGTCTGATTTCTGTCTCTCCTATTGTTCCCAGAGCCGGTTCCTTAGCTTCTGCCCTGAGGCACGCTACCTGCCTGTCCCTGTCCTTGAGACAGGAAAACGGACCGAGGACCCAATGTGACCTATTTGGTGTCATAATTACAGAGCGCTGAGCGCTAACAGTCCGCTACAGTTCACAGACAGCCCTCCGCATCCATAATCCCTCTGATCCTCACCGGGAAAGGGAGAGCAAACACCACTGTCCCCATTTCACAGGTGAGGGGGCAGGAGGTCAGAGGGGGTAAAGGAAAGTGGTGCCAGGTGGAGGGGAGTGGGAGACGGTAGGCATATAAGACAGGCCTCCCCCAAGCCCCTCCACAGCGGGAGACTCCTGCAGCCCGCACCCCGTCAGCCACCTCCTTCCAGCACCTCTGCCCCAGCTACCTGGGGAGGCTCTGTGCCCTGAAGTCCTGGCAGAATGTTATCAATGGACAGCACCTCTGCACAGACCTACCTTCCTGTTATCTCCTCTAATCTTCATTAAAACTCTATGAGAGCCAAAACCGGTTTGGCTCAGTGGATAGAGCGTCGGCCTGTGGACTGAAAGGTCCCAGGTTCGATTCGGGCACATCGAACCTGGTTGCAGGCACATCCCCAATAGGGATTGTGCAAGAGGCAGCTGATCGATGTTTCTAACTCTCTATCCCTCTTTCTTCCTCTCTGTGAAAAATCAATAAAATATATTAAAAAAAAAAAAAGAATCTGGGATTCCCAATTTACCAGAAAATAAAAATAAAAATAAAAAATAAAACAAAACTCTCTGAGGACCATTGACCAATGATATAATCATGGCAAACATTTACACAGCATGCTATGGGTACCATTCTATGCACTCTGCATGTATTTATCCATTTGATTATTTTTTAAATGTGTTTTATTGATTTTAGAGGGATGGGGGAGAGAGAGAGAAATATCGACGTGAGAGAGAAACATCAAGCTGCTTATATGCACCCTGATGGGGTGCTGACCTGCAGCCTCGGCAGTGCTCTGACCTGGAATCAAACCTGCACCCTTTCCGTGCACGGGCGACGCTCCGACCAACCAAGCCGCACTGGCCAGGGCTCCCATCTATTCTTACACCCGCCCCCCGGGAGAGACATCACAGCTCCCTTTTGTAGATGGGCAAACCGAGACAGAGAGAGGCTAAGGATGTGTCCAAGCCAGCGGCTAGAAGGCCACATGACGTCTCCCCTCTGAGCCTCAGCTCTGCATTTGCTGGGTGGCAATCATGTCTACCCCAAACGGTGGGCGGGAGGGCAAGGAAACCAGGCAGGGACCTGCCCCATGCTGCCAGAGAGAAAACGGATGCTAAGTGGGGACAGGCTATTACTTTTCCCCTCCCATGTTACAGATGCGAGACAGGCTCAGAGAGGTTCCTACCTGTCTAAGGCTTTGCAGCTAATAAGGCCTGAACTGCCCGCCATCCTTCCCTTCCTCCCTGGCCTCAGAGAGTCCGTCCTGCTGAACTCCGAGGCCAGGACAGAACGCACCTGAGGGGCCTGGCGGCAGGAAGGCTCCCACAGGCAGCCAGGCGTGCCCACCGCCACCACTGGCTGAGGGAGCCTAGGAGCGCCCCGCCCCGCTCTGCCCGCTCAGCTGTGAAATGGGCGGGCTGGAACATGGCTCGGCCCCCTGCTCCGGGTGTACGGTTTAATAACGAGCACGGTCTCCACTGCTGGGTGCTGCCAGCCTGACAGAGGCAGGCTGTGGGCTAAGGAGACTGACTACCTGGGGAAAGAGGGCCAAATGCGGCTGATCCTCTTTACTGGACAATTCAAGCCTCCGTTTCCTCATGAGCAAAATGAAGGCAAGAACTGCATGCATCTAGCCCTGGCTGGTGTGGCTCAGCGGTTTGAGTGTCAGACCCTGAACGGAAGGGTCTTGGATTTGATTTCTGGTCAAGGACACATACCAGGGTTGTGGTCTCAGTCCAACGTGCAGGAGGCAGTCAATCAATGATTCCCTCTCATCATTGATGTTTCTATCTCTATCTTCCTCTCCCTTCCTCTCTGAAATCAATAAAACATATTTAAAACCAGTCAATTAACTAAAACTTTATTAAAAGAAAAAAGAATTAGCCCGAGCCAGTGTGGCTCAGTTGACCTACAACCTGGAGGTCACAGTTCAATTCCAGTTGTGGCTCTGTCCCCCGTGTGGGGTGTGCAGGAGGCAGCCAACCCATGATTCTCATCATTGATGTTTCTCTTTCCCTTCCTCTATGAAATCAATAAAAATATATTTTAAAAAAGAATTATATAATCTAACACATACGTACTGACTACCAGGCGCTGGGCCCTGTTACAAGTGCTTTGAATTTCTTGTTTAATCCTTACAGCCACTCCATGAAGTATATACTATCCATATTCCCATTGGACAGATGAGGAAACTGAGGCATGGGAGATTAAGTAACCTGCCCAAGATTATACAGCTGAGGGTGCTGATAGGGCGATGCCTAGTTTGAAGCCAGACTCTTTGCTCTTATGGCTCGACAGCCCCTCAAGTGCTTGAGGATGGGAGGAGAGAGAGAGATCCCGGGCACCCCGGGAGCTGCCTGGGAAACAGGGGTGATCAGATCAGACCCAAGCCTCTA